CCGCCACTCCGTCGTCGTCGTGGCCGATGACGGAAAGGGCGCGTGTCCTCGACAGTCGAGGCCGGGACTGCGACCGGCACCGGTAGCGCGACCCGCGGCGGCCCGTCTGCGCGACGGCTGCGCGACACCGTCTCTGCCGCCTGGCGCTCGGCGCGACGATGGACGGGCTTTGCGGTGCGCACGGAAAAGGTGCTCGATGCGCGGGTGCGTCGCGCCCAGCAGGTGCGCGCCCTCAAGGCCATGGCGCTCGACGCGGCGGCCACCGTCGTCGTCATGGCCATCATCCTCGCCGTCCCTTGAAGGCCGGTCTCTTCATCCTTGCTCTGACCGTCGTCCGCCCTGGCTCTTTCCCCCGCCTTGTCCGTTCCCACCGTGTGTCGAGGGTTATCTGCGTCACCGTCGTGCCTGTCATGTCATGGTCTTGTTTGTATCCTGTGCTCGTACCTTGTACTCTAGCCATGGTGCGCGTCTCGCGCCCGCCCCTGCTCTGCTCTGCTTTGCTCTACGCGCTCTCTGTATTCCCATCATCACTACTGTCACCACTTGCCTCGAGATCTGGCGCTCGTGTGCACCTGCCTGATTTCGACGACGTCAGGGCGCTGGGTGCACTTGCCCGAGTCGCGCGCCGTGCTCGAGGCAACGGCCGGTCGCCAGAGGCTAGGGCGTGACGGAGCGAGTTGCCAGACCAGGCTTTTGTGAAGCGTCGCGAGCATCGCCCAGAGCGGTCTGGCCTGGGCAGGCCAGGCCAACAGGGCAGTCACATACGCGGACCGAGGATTGACCTCAAAGGCGACAGGCCGACGCGCGCCCGCGCCACGCTAGTTGAGCCCCCTGAGCCTCGGTCGGTAGGGTGGGGCGAGGCCAGGCCAGGCCAGGCCGGGCAGAAGAGGTCCCGCCTCGGCCAAGGCGAGCCACTTTACACGACGGACTGACCTGCAAATCAAGCCCAGCCCGCCCAGCCCAGGCACACCGCCCTCTCAAGGGGTCGGGGCGTTTGGCCCCGACCGACGCCGCCACACGTACCGGAGCGGCCCAGGGGCAACCTGGGGCGGCTCGACACCTGGTCGACTTGGCAGCATGCCAGACTGGCCTGGCCTGGCCTGGCCTGGCCTGCGCTGGCATCTCGGGCGTGGATCGGTTGGATCCGATGGGATCGGATCGGGCTGGAATCCAGAGGCAGGCGCGCAGGCGCGCAGGCGGGCCAGGCAAGGCCGGATGAAAAACCAGGCCAGGCAGGGAGGGAAAAAGGGGCCATCGGCGGGCAGTGGCTGGCCTGTCGACGAGGGCCAGAGGGGCGGGGGCGGGGCGGGGCGTGCCAGCCAGCCGGTTTGCCGCCTCGGAAGGCGAAAACCACGAAAATCGGGCGCTGGAGAGGCGAGGCAGGCGAGGCGAGGCAGGCGAGGCAGCTGCTTGCCCTCGAGGGCGACCGAAGCGTCAGGCAGGCTAGCAGAGGAGAGAATTTCTGGCTGCCCGGCCGCATTCTCGGGGCCATCAGCTTCGCCCTGCCTGGCCTGCCTGCCTGCCTGCCTGCCTGTCTTTGCGTCTGGCGCCCGCTTGGCCCTCGACCTGGCCCTGTCTCTGGCCCTGACCAGACCGAGCCTAACCGCACCCGCGCCCCGCCCGCACCCTGGCTTGTCTGCCCTGCCTACCTGGCCTGCTACGCCTGCCTCCTCTCCTCTCTGCCTTGGTTGACCCCTCGCCGCCGCGACAACACGTAACACCCTCTTCGCTGCCCCTCGCTCCTCGTCCCTTTCTCGTCGTTACCGTAACGTCGCGCCACCGCCATCGGCTGCTGCTTGCTTCACGCCCACCGTTCGCCCTCGTCTACGGCCCCCTCCACGCGCACCTCGTACCTCCGTCCGCCACTCGAACCCGCAGCCCAACGACGCGCTGCATCCGCGCCTCTCTCCTCGCCTCCCTGGTTCTCTCTCTCTCTCTCTCTGGCTCTCTGGTTTCTCTTGACGACCGCATCGGTGCGCTTTGACGCTGCTTCACCTCTCGCTCTCTCGCTGCTTCAAAACGTGTCTTCGTTGGGCCGACCTCTGCGCCCGAAATCCACGGCCGCAAACCACACACCCCAGTCTCCGGCCTTGCACTGCCAGCATCCACCGCGGCTCACCCACCTACCTTGGCCCACGTTTGGATCGCTCTGGACCGCGCCGCTTGAGAACGACATCTCACACGGCACCAGAGCTGGCTGCGTAGCTCCACGGCTGGTCCGTCGACGACCTCGCTTCCAGATTATAGCCAAGCCGGTCGCCTCCGCACAGCCGGATATCTACTTCGAGCCCGCCCGCCGGCCGCAGGTTCGGCCCATCTCTGCGCCGAGGTCGTCTCTAGACCGCCTTCGTCTCTGCTCCTCTCGACGCCACAGCCCGTCGAGCCTCGACCGCCGAGACTCGCACTTCCATCCGGATCTTCTCCGTCCGCGATCCGGCCGGCCTGGCTTCGTCATCGCGCGCGCGCCTATCCGCCATGATGCAGGCGCAGCCATCCGCACCGCACCAGCAGTTCAACCCCTACATGGGCGGCGGCCCTCCCATGGGCCCCGGTCCGCGATCGCCCATGATGAACGGCTTCCCGAACGGCCATCAGAACGGGCCCAATGGCGGCCCTTTCCGACAGGGAGACCGGCCGCATCAGCCCACCCAGTCGCCAAAATACCCCAGCATCCAGCTCGAGGATCCGCCTAGGCGCAGCTTCAGCACCTCGACCAACGGCGCCGGAGGCTCGCAGCACGGTGGCGGCGGCGAGGGTAGCCAGTCTTCGTCGTCGCGCTTCCGCACGCGGCGCCCCGACACCGAGGAGATCAGGACCACGGGGCGGACGCACTACATTGAGCTGCTCAACTTCCTCCGCAGCCATCTGCTCAAGGGTGAGGCTTGGCAAGACCTCGAGAGGGTTCCTCTGAATGGTATGACAAGTTCGGGCGCTGACATATGAACATTCGGCCTGCATCTCTTGGCTGTACCCGCTTCATCGCTCGCCCGCAGTTGAACAGACTGCGCGGACCAATGCTCGCGAGAAGCTGACCCGCCTGAGCAAACAGCAGTTTACTGAGCTGTCGACCGACGTCTACGACGAGCTCATGCGGCGCCAGAACAATGCCAAGAACGGCAACTGTGAGTCCACAACCTGGACCCTGAGGACGCCGAGAATGTCCTCAAGACATCTGCTCATCTCTGCCCCTGCTGCTTTGCATCTATCCGTCACCGGCCCACCTTGACGACCATCCACAGCCACGCCGTTCCTCGCGGTGCGCGACGAGTTCCACCCCAAGCGGAATCAGGCTCGTCAGAAGCTGGCCACGTTGCCGAAGAACCGGTTCAAAGACCTCGCCTCGGACGTCTTTTTCGAGCTCGAGCGGCGCTTTCCCGAGCTCAAGGAAGAGTTCCGGCCGGATGCCATCGCGAGGGAGCGCGAGAGGGAGGCGAGGCAAAGAGAAGAGGCCGAGAACCTGCAGAGGAAGGAGTCGATCGGCAACCCGCAGGGCTCAACGTCCGACCGCGTCGTACCGGCAAAGAGCACGCTGGTCGAGGAGGACATCGCCGTGCCCTATTCCAAGGACGACGGTGGCGGCGGCAGTGGCGGCCGGGCGGATCGCGGCTCTCGTCCAGATGACCCCGACGGCCGGCACTCGCTGAATCGCGACTCGCTGGGCTCGACGAGCGCCAACGGCCTGGCGGACAACCGCAGCACCATGTACAGCCAGGCCAGCAGCGTGGGGACGGGCTTCCTCAACGGCTATACGCACAGCGCGGCGAGCCCCAATCTAGGGCGAAGCAGCGGTTTTGAAGTGAGTCGCGGGGTCCACACTGCTGCCAGCACCACGCAGCTCCTCTACGCATGCTGACCCTGCCCTCTTCGCCCTCCTCACACATCACCTCGTCCCCCGCTTCTGCAGGGGACATCAGCGCCGCTCGCCATGGAAAAGATGCGATCCGAGTACGAGCTGCGGATCGCCAAGCTGCAGCAGCAGGTCTCGACGCTCGAGTCGCAGCAGGCCGACTCGATGCCCCGCGTCAGGATGGCCGACGAGCTCAAGGGCCGGAATCAGGAGCTCGAGAGGCAGCTCAAGGAGCTCACGACCGAGCTCAAGGGGACGCAGGAGAGGCACGAGGTGTCGATCCGCGAGCTGCGGGAGGACAGCAACCGCTACCGGGAGCTGCACGACTCCAAGCACTCGGAGCTGCAGGGCGCCCGCGAGGAGCTCCAGTCGCTGCAGCGGCAGGCCGCACGCGGTGGCCTCGGCCAGGACGCGCAGGCCGAGTTCGAGGCGCTCCAAAAGGACTTTGCCGAGCAGAGCATCGTTGTGCAGGAGCTCAAGGAAGAGGTCACGTCGCTCCTCGACGAGTTGCGGCAGCTTTCGGAGCGCCACGACGATATCCATGCCGAGAGGGAGTCGGACGCGGCCGTCATCAAGGACCTGCACGCGCAGGTTGCGAGCTACAAGCGCATGTACGAGACGGCCAAGACGGAGCTGCGGACGCACAAGGCCACCTCGCAGCTCTACGTGCAGCCGGCCAAGGCCGACGACGTGATGCCGGTTTCGGACCGGGGCGCCATCGCCGACGTCAACCTCACCGCGTTCCAGAGCTCGATCGACGAGCTGCTCGCCGCCGCGCGCTCCAAGACGCCGTCGAACGTGCTGCTGTCGATGAAGACGGTGGTGCTGGCCACGACGCTCGTGACCGACGACGTGTCCAAGTACGAGCAGGTGGCGAGCAACCTGTCGGAACTCTCGCCCGACGAGCTCGACCAGCTTCAGGCGCTCAAGGCCAAGTGCTCGGGCACGCTCAACAACCTCATGACGGCCTGCCGCAACCACGCCTCGTCGCACGGCATGTCGCCCGTCAGCCTGCTCGACGCCGCAGCGAGCCACGTGTCGACGACCATCGTCGACCTGGTCAAGCTGCTCAAGGTGCGCAAGGCGAGCAAGGTCGAGGCCGACGAGTACGAGGCCCAGTTCCGGCAGACGCCCGGCGGCACGCTCCAGAACGGGCTCAAGCCGCTCCACATCAGCGCCCAGTCGGCGGCGCTGCGCGACGTCAACGCGAGCGGCACGCTCTCGCCCAACACGTCGAGCTCGTTCGCCTTTGGTGGTCTGCAGCCGGGCTCGGCGAGCGAGGACCGCTTCTCGCCGCGCCTGCGCCACAGCCCGCAGATGGGCCGCTACTCGCCCGTCGGGTACAAGGCCGAGGCGATCCGCAAGGACTCTGCCGGCGATGCGGCGTGGCGCAGCCGGACGACGTCGGTGTCGTCGTCGAGCAGCGCGCAGCGGACGCCGAGCATGCCGTCGGCCATGGGACTCGGTTCGGCCCCGCTGCCCTTCCGGCAGCCGAGCAACGGCGGGGGAGGCGGCGGTGGCGGCGAGGGAAGCGCTGCGAGCAGCATCCGCGGCCTGCGCAGCAGCGGCGGCAACACGACGGGCGACGAGGCGCACCTGGTGCCGCGGTCCGAGACCATCGACAGCCTACCCTCGGTGTCGGACTCGAGCGGCTTCAACGGCAGCTCGGCCAGCCTCGAGACGGGCGGCCACGAGAACTGGGCCGAGCTGCGCAACTACATCGAGGTGCAGACCGAGGCCATCGTCCACTCGATCCAGGCGCTGCTCTCGGCGATCCGCGAGGGTGCGCAGGGCGTGCAGCTCAACGAGAACCTGACGCAGATTACGACGATTGTGTCGTCGATTGTCGCCATCTCCAAGGGCAACCTGCCGGTCAAGTCGCGCGCGGCGGGCGAGCGGATCCTGAGCGAGCTGACCGACCACTGCGAAAAGCTGAGCGAGATGCAGAGCCACCCGTCGTTTGACAAGACGACCAAGGCGTCGATGGCGAGCGCCAGCTACGGTGTCGCAAAGGGCCTCAAGGCGCTCAACGGGCTCCTCACCGCCGCCGACGTCCAGCTGGCCTGATTAGGTCGGGTCCCGTCCTGGCGGCTGCCGTTGCGGGCCATCATCATCACCATTGTCGTCATCCACTGCCGCGACCACGCGACCCGGCCGCGGAAAACCACGCCTCTTTGCTCTCTTTCGCTCGCGCTCTCTCCCTCTCTCTCCCAATCTCCCTCTGCCCCTCGTCTCTGGATCCTTCCAGCGCTGCCTCTCTCGCGACCCTGCCCCATATTTGCTGCATCCGCACACCGCCGCGTCCGATCCTTCCGCATCTGTACGCCACATCAAACGACACGGGCCGAGGACGACATCGACGGCGCGGCCACCCGAACACGTGCGACCGCCGCCGCCGCCGCCAGCCGCCCGCCGCCCGCCGCCCGCCGCTATCGGGTCGGGTCGGGTCGGGTCGTCCTCCTGTACTCTGGAAATCACGATACCCCTGCCCCCCTCCCCTTTCTACCTCGCACCTTGCCCTGAGCCTGTTCCGAGGGCGCCCTGTCCTTGCCCTTGCCCTGGTCCTGGTCCTGGTCCTGATCCTATTTCGAACGGCTCGCTGGCGGTCGACGCGCGAGGGTCGAGCCGGGTGGGCCCAACGCCGAACGCGGTGCGCATAGCGACCGTCCCTCGATCTCCTTTTGCCGCTGACCGACACAGCCAGGGAAATGAACGACTCGACATACGCCACCACGAACCCTATGGCGCAGCGGATCAGACAGGCCCTTTTTTGGGGGGTTTTGCTTTCCACACTGCCTTTTTGCTCTGTCAAATGTCGGTTCCCCATCTAAGGTTCGGAGGGAGGTCCCACCCGTTTCGAGCCTCAACCACCATCGGTGTTCGCATGGCCTAAGCATCGTGCGACGACCTTGCTTCCGACTCCGCCGGCGACGACTCGACGAGGTCGATGAAGGCTCTCCACTCGTCCGACTTGATCTTGTAGCCCTCGCTATCGTCGTCCGGGAACGACTGGTCGCGCACCGCATCGACGTAAGCCTGCACCGCCGCCAGGCGCATGGCGCCCAGGCTGAAGGGCTTGACAAAGGAGCGCACGAATTTGGGCGGGCTCGGCGTATCGGCGTGCGGCAGCGGCATCGGCGGCGCATCGTTGGGCATCTCTGCGGACGTCGTCGCAGCCGCAGCAGCCGCAGCAGCAGCGGGCGTCTGGGCGTCGTCGGCGAGGCCGGCGAGGATGTGGGCGGGAGAGGTGAGTTCGCCCATCATGTCGCTGACGACGAGCACCTGCCCGTCGGTGCCGCTCCCGGCGCCGATGCCGATGGTGATGGCGTCGATGTGGTCGCTAATGTACTTTGCCAGCTTGTTGGGGATGCACTCGAGCACAATGGCAAAGCAGCCGGCGCGCTCGAGCTGCTGGGCGGCGCGGAAGATGTCGTGGGCCTGGCGGGCCGACTTGCCCTGGACGCGGTAGCCCGACGTGGCCCCGACGCGCTGCGGCTGCAGGCCGAGGTGGCCCATGACGGGGATGCCGAAGCTCGTGAGCCGCCGGATGAGCGGAAGCACCTCTTCTGCGCCCTCGATCTTGACGCCGTCGACGCCCGTCTGCTGCATGAGACGGACGACGTTGTCGACGGCGCTCTGGTCGGACGAGACAAAGGTGCCAAAGGGCATGTCGGCAAACACGAGGGGCGCGGCGGGGGTGGCGTCGTGGGCGAGGAGGATGGCCGAGTTGAGGCCGCGCTGGACGGCCTGGGCGTGGTGGATGATGGCGTCGAGCGAGAGGGGCTGCGTCGTCGAGTGGCCCAGGGCGACGTTGGCCAGCGAGTCGCCCACGAGGCACAGGTCGACGTCGGCGTAGCGCATCGAGAGGCCCGTTGGGTAGTCGTAGGCCGTCAGGCAGGCGCTGCTCGTCGTGGCAACGGAGCGGGGCAAGCCGGAGAGGGTGTTGGGGTTGCAGGGATGAAGGGTGCCATGCGACGTCGACGAGTCAGTACCGGCCTGTCGCACGGGCTGGAGCGACAAGGAGCGGGGGGGAGGGAGGAGCTCACTCACACTTTGGTGCCCTCGTGCTTCATCTTTTGGAGGTAGGCAATCGTCTTTCTCCGCGGCGGCGGGGGCAGGCGGGATGCCGAGGAGGAGGGCGAGGGCGAGGGCGAGGGCGACGACTGCCTGGCCTTGCCCTTTGCGTCTGCAGCGGCTGCCGAGGATGCGGCCGCGAGGTCGGCGAGGGAAGAGGATGACGACGAGGGGGGGATGTTTTCCATTGCGGGTCCGGCGCGGTTGCGGAGCGAGGGCGGCGACTGCTGCGAGGTGGAAGGGCGAGGCTGGCGGCGTGTGCGGGCATGGTGGACATGGTCCGGGTCGGCGTCTTCGCTTCCGGCTGTACCGGCGGGCCAGGCGCTGCGTCGAGCCGAGGCGGTGTGGAACGAGGACGAGGGGGAGGACGCGGAGCAGGATGGACAGGCGAGGGGTACGAGGGTGCGTCCGACGAGGTTGCGCAGGTGTCGCCGTGCGAGGCTGGGAGCGGTCGACATGGTAGCGAAGGCGAAGGCGAAGGCGAAGACGATGGCAATGGCAATGGCGATGGTGGCAGGGAGAGAGGGGGATGGAGCAGCCGAGGGTCTATTTGACAAGGGGAAGGACCAGAGGCGGCGGTTTGGCTGCCGGGTGAGGTTGCTTGACAAGGAGAACGACAGGTCGCGACTTGCGGAGCGAGATGGAATCTAATGGTTTGATGGTGGCCAGAGGCGGCCCATCGTACGATGGAAGAAAGAGCTGAACAGCCAGCCAGCCTAGCCTGGGCTTCCAAGTCGACGTCGACCGGCAGACCGACCGACCCCCCAACGGCTTTAATTTTTTTTCCTGGCTGCCCTTTTCTCGGCCCATGTGCCTGTGCCTGGCCTGGCCTTGGCTGGCCTGACGCTGCGCCAGACGAGGGCGGGAACCCTGGCCCTGGCCTTTGGGTTGGCTCGCCTCGCCTCGGCGCTTTGGCCGCCCCGCTTCCGGCTGGATTGGAAGCCGAGGGAGGGGTGGCGCCGTGTGGCTGGCCTGCCTTTGTCTGGCTTGGCTTTGCCGCGTTCCGAAGCAGCTGGCGCGCACCCGCCCTCGTTGGCTGGCCCCGGCTGGCAGTCTTCCCCGCACCCCGACCGGCCAGCACAGCCCTGCCCTGCCTTGCCCTGCCTTGCCCTGCCTTGCCCTGCCTTGCCCTGCCTTGCCCTGCCTTGCCCTGCGTTTGCCCTCGGCCGGCTTCCCCGACTCCCGCTGCCTCGTCGTAGCCACCGACCATCCACCATCACCATCACTCCATCACTCCATCTGGCCAGGGCCAACCCCGCCTCGACCTCGTCTCGTCTCGTCTTCATCTTCATCTCAAGCTTCTATCTGACCGGCCTCTCGCTCCTTCTAGACACACTCGCACTCGCATCAGCGCCGGCATTGGCGCCACACCCCCGCGCACAGCCCACCGGCTCGCTGCGGCCCGCAGCCCACCACCCCCCTCTCCTCGCCCGCCATGCAGCCCAACTCGTCGTCGTCGGCCCAGTCCGACTACTTCTCCCAGCCCGGCTACCGCGGAAACCTCACCACATCACAGACCATCGCCCTCCTCAAACTATGGCGCCGCTTCCTCCGCCTCTGCGAGACCGCAGCACCCAACACCGCACAGCCAAACCCGCCCAACGCCACAAAGCACAGACCACTCCCGCACTCGTCATCATCACCCTCGCTCTCCGCACCCTACTCGGCCTCGGCCTCATCCTCGGCATCTGCATCCGGTGACCGTCTCGACGCAAAACACGCACCCTACCATGCACAGCCCGACGATGCCGCTGCCGCTGCCGCCGCAATCCAAGACGGTTACCGCCACCACTCCCGCGCAACGCCACCACCACCAGCTCAACAACAACAACAACAACGAGATGGAAACGGCCACACCGACAGCAACAACCTTCCCCCGCAGGACGACAAGCTCAAGGACCACCTCCGCTCCATCGAAGAGTCAAAGGACCTCCACGCCTTTGTCGCCACCCACGGCGGCGCCGCCCTCAAGCGCGAGTTCTGGGCCATGGTCAAGGGCGAGCACCCAGACGCCGTCATGCTCCGCTTCCTCCGCGCCCGCAAGTGGAACGTCGACCGCGCCCTCGCCGTCATCGGCAGCGCCTGCGCCTTCCGCGTCCAGCACAACGTCACCCAGCTCATGAAAAACGGCGAGCTGGGCCTCGTCCGCACCCGCGGCGGCATGAACATCTTCCGCAACGGCATCAGCTACATCCTCGGCGCCACCCCCAACGGCGAGCCCATCTACACCATCGAGGTCGGCTCCCACTACAGCTCCAACCAGACGGCCGAGGAGCTCAAGAATGCCGTCATCTTTATGCAGGAGTGCCTCTCGCTCATGATGCCGCCGCCCGTCGAGAAAAAGGTCGTCATCTTCAACCTCAACAACTTTGGCATCCGCAACATGGACTGGTCCATTGTCCTCTTTATGGCAAAGACGATGGAGTCCTTCTACCCAGAGACGCTCGCACGCGTCTACGTCCACGGCGCGCCCTGGATCTTTAAGCCCATCTGGTCCATCCTCCGCCCGCTCCTCGACCCCGTCGTGCGCGACAAGATCCGCCTCACCTGGAAGGTCGAGGAGCTCTCGGAGCACGTCCCCGTCGACCACCTGCCCAAAAAGACGCTCCACGGCAACCTCGACTTTGAATTCCTCTTCCCCGAGCCCGAGCCCGGCGAAAACGACGTCCAGAAGGACACGGCCGCCCACGACGCGCTGCGCCTTGCCTACCTCGACGTCGTCACCGAGTTTGAGAACGCGACGCGCGCCCTCGCGCGCTGCTACCGCAACTCGACGGCGGCGGCGGCAGCGGCGTCGTCGTTGTCGCTCTCGTCGTGGTCCGAGGCGCCGGGCGGCCAGAGTCAGAGGAACATTGGATCGCGTCGGGCCCGGAAGCTGGGTCGTCGTGGACAGGGCAGCAGCGGTGGCGGTGGCGGTGGGCGCGACGAGTTTGATAATGGCCACGGCAACGGCAACGGCCACGACGATGTCGACAACGACGATGACGACGGCGATGATGATGGCGAGCCAGAGGGCAGCGCGAGCCTGCGGGCGATGCGCGACGTGCTGGCGACCAAGCTGCGCGTCGCCTGGCTGCGGCTCAAGCCCTACGTCATCGGCAAGACAAAGTACGACCGGTGGGGCGTGGCCCAGGACGACGGCACCATACGCTGGACCTACAAGACGCTGGCGGGGCGCGTCGACACCCAGATCCTGGGCGAGGGCACCTCGTTGCCCGCCCTCGAACGCGCCCTGGCCGAAATCGAAGGCGCCCACTCGATGCCCGGCCCTCTGCCTCAACCGGCCGCAACATCGGCGTCGGCGGCGCCGGCGGCGGCGGGGCATGCTGCTCCGTCGACGGCAAACGGTGGCACATCTCGACATCGAAACGGTGCGGGCCCCTCGTCTGTCGTTGCAGATCAGAAGACCTCGACGGGTCCAGCCATAGCAGCAGCAGCAACAACGACGACGACGACGACGACAACGACGACAGCGGCACCACATACGCGCTCCAACCTGTCGACGGCGCCCGTCGTCGTGGCACCTCGATCCTCGTCATCTCTTTCCTCGTCGGCCGCAACAACCCCGTCCCAACCCCGCGACCCCGCCCTCGTCGCCACCCTTGCTCCCGACGCAGCATCGACGGATGAATCGCGACGAGGGGCCAAGGAGGCCGAGGGCCAGAGCACGAGGGGCAAAGCGAGCATCGAAACGGAACCGGGCCGCTTCCAGGATATCATCCCGATCCACCCTTCGGACCCGGCGTTTGAAAAGGCCCGCAATGCGGATCACGAAGTCGCCCCATCGTAGTCGTTGTCGCCGTAGTCGTCCTAGATCCACGCACCATCCCTGCGTGCTCCACTCCTCGCTGCTGCGCTCTGCTCCCCCTCTCTTCCCCGGCGGTTTCGACACATGGTGTCTTTTGGATCGCGGGCTGTACTCGATCGGTTCCAGGTCCGGTCTCGTACCGTACCGGCCTGGCCTGGCCCGGCTTGGCTTGGCTGCAGCGTTGGCCCCGCTTTGTAGGCATGCGTCTGTTCGGATGGCATGGGCTCGGCACCCGGAATAGTAAAGTTGGTCGACCTAGACGGACCCGAAAGAGGGCCGTGTGCGAAGAGACGTCGGGCCCATCTTGACGTGTGCCTCTCGGCCGCCCTAGCGCTCCAGCGATGACCCTCCCTCTTCTCCCTGCAGCCGTCGCCTTCGCCGTCGCCGTCGCCGCCTTCGCCGCCGAGCGTCGCCGCTGCGCGCCCTGCTTTCACTTGGCGCTGTGCCGCAGGCGCTCGTGGCGGAGCATGGCGTCCTTGCGCGAAAAGCTGGCGCTGCACGTCTTGCACTTCCACTCGACGACGGCCATGCTCTTTTTCGGATCGACCTCCTTGCCCAGCACGATGCAATCTTGCATCGTCAGCTTGCCCTCGCGCACCAGGCTCGCCTCTTCGCGCGCGTGGATCGTCTCGCGGTGCCGCGCCAGGTCGTACGGCCGGTGGAAGGCCGTCTGGCACACGCTGCCCGTGATCGGCGAGCGGTAGTCGCACCGCGTCGAGCCCGTCGTACCCGCCGTCGGTCGACCGGCGCCGCCCGCAGTGGGCGAGTCGCTGCTCCGCGCGACTGCCGACGTCTTTTTGCCGTCACCGCCGCCGCCGCCGCCGCTGCTCGTCGCCTTGGTCTTGCGACGCCGCTTCTGCGGTACTTTGGTCGCGGTCGACGAGCTGGCGCCGGCGCCGCCGCCGTGGTCCTCGTACCCGGATCCTTCGAGGTCGTCCCACTCCTCGTCGTCTTCCTCCTCGCCCGACGCCTCGATCTTGTCGTCCTTGGCCTCGACAGGGCTCCGCTTCGGCCCATCTTGGACCAGCCGGAGCGCATCGGCGACGGTCGAGACGGTGCCAGCCGAGGACGTGCCAAACTTGCCCGCCGCCCCACCGGCGCCGACCGGCGGCGAGACAGTCTTCTTGGGCTGCCCCCCGATGACCTGAGCAGAGCTGCGGATCGATGGGCTCTGGCTGCCGTCGTCCTGGCTGCCCCCCATGCTGACATCGTCGACCGATGCACCGCCCCGCGGTCCGGCCGCGGCCGTCGAGGCCTGCCCAGGCGCCATGGCACCGCCGATGCCCGCCGCCGCGACGCTCAGCCCGCTGTCTTGGCTTCCCGGAATGTAGCCGTAGCCGCCCATCATGCCCGGCATCATCATGCGCGACGGCTTGCCGCCCGTCGTCCGGTACTTTGACTTGCCCGCCATCGTCGCACCGTCCGCGTCTAGGTCCTCGGACGACGACTGCTCCTTTGGCTTGGGTCGGCCATTCAACGCACCACCACCGCCGGCACCGCCGCTGCCGAAGGCGTTGGCGTGTGCTCGGTTGCGCCGGTCGTCGTCCGAGTCGCTGCTCGACGCAGAGACGTCGGCGAAGCGGGGGATCGAAGTCGTACTCTGCCGGTGCTTGTGCGCCCAAGGCTCGGCCCGGACGTGGCCCCAGGCTCCTCCTCCTCCGCCGCCGCCGCCGGGAGTCCTGTCAGAGCTCGAGCCGGAACGGGAAAAGCTCTGCGACCGCCGTCCTTGCGAGCCGCTGGCCGAGCCCTGGCTGCCGCTCGGCGGCTTGGCCGGATAGTTGAGGTAGAGGCTCGAAGGCCCGCCCCGGATCATGCTGGGCCGCATGTTGGGAGGGTAGTAGGGCCTCTCGTCCTCGTCGTCGTCGGTGCTGGTGGTGTCGAAGCTCTCGCTGGGGCTAAAGATGCTGCTCTGCGAGCCAGATTCCTGGCTGGTGCTGCCTCGCCCCTCGACCTGGTGCGGGTGGTGGCCCGGCCGTCTGGGATAGTGGTGCTGCTTGGCCGTCTCGGTCCGGCTCATGGGGATGCGCGTGTGAGCGTCGCCCGACGCAGGCTTGTGGGTCGACTTGCCGGGCGTCGAGGTCGGCGTCTTTGCCGCCGAGTCATGCACCTCAAAGGCGCTCGTCTTGGGCGTCCGGGTGCCGGCAATCTGCTGCTGCTGCTGGGCTGCGACGCCGCTCGTGTCCCTCTTGGCATGGCCCGCCAGCGCATCGGCGAGCCCAGGCGGCACAGGCGCAAACAGGCTCGGCATGTTTCCCAGCCCGGAATGGGCCAGCGCGGACTCGACATCGTCGTAGTCGAGGAACGCCTGCTGAGGGCTCACTGTGAGGCCGCTGGGTTCCCGTCTCAGCTCGCGACGACCGCCCGGACCTTGTCGATTCTGAGCCATGGATGGTGGCGGCTGCGCATCAGCCTGACGAAAAGACATCTGGTGCTGCCGTTGCTGCTGCTGTTGTTGCTGTTGCTGTTGCAGCTGCTGTTGCTGCTGCTGAAGAATCTGCTGCTGCTGCTGCTGCTGCTGCTGCTGCTGCTGCTGCTGTGGCTGTGGCTGCGACTGCGACTGCGACTGCGAAAAGGGCTGCGATGGCGGTGGCATCGCCTGGTTGGCGAGCATCTCGGCCTGGCTGGCATTCTGCGACAGGCTGCCCGTCCCGAAGTAGGGCGTCCACTGCGAAGTGGTCGACGAGTCGAGCTCGGTCGGGAAGCCCTGCGAGTTCTTGCCCCACGAGACCGACTGGGTGAAGCTGGCATCGAAGCTGCTGCTGCGCCGCCGCGGCTGGCCGGGTCTCTCTGGGTAGCACGGCACCGAGCCCATGTAGTCGTTGGCCCCGCCGCCGCCCATGGCTCTCGGCGTGGCCTCGCCGGAGCGGTAGGTGGAGCTGCTGCCATGCGTCTGCCCGATGTCGTAGTCCGGAAAGAGGCTAAACGAGGGCGCGACGCCGGCCTGCATGGGGTCTGAAGAGGCCGACATGGGGCTGATCTGGCTGTTGCTTTGCGAGCCGTAGTTGCGCTGCTGCATAATGTCGCGGAGCGGGCCCTTGAAGGCGCGCGAGTCGACGCCTGCCAGCTCGGCGCGGATCTGGGCCTTGACCCTCTCCTGCTGCTCGTGGGTCATGCCGTTGCTGCCGGGCGATCCAAAGTTGGCATAGGCGGCGTTGAGGGCCTCTTGATTGTCGAGCGCCTGGTTTGGTATGGATTCGCCGAGGGAGAGCTCGTGCATCGGTGCTCCCAGAGTGCCGCTGGGTGGGTCCTTGGTGGGCTGCTGCGGTGTCGCGGTGCTATCTGCCAGGCCCGTCTGCTGCTGCTGCTGTTGCTGTTGCTGTTGCTGCTGCTGCTGGTGAGCCTGCCGCAGTGCGAGCATCTGATTTGCATCGATGCCGTGCCACGATGCCGAGTAGCCGTGGCTGCGCTGACGCTTCTTTTGCGGGCTGCCGGCCATGTCGAGCGTGCCCATCATCGCCGTTGCTGCGGACGGGTCGTCGAGCAGCGGCGACTGGCTCGGATGAGGCGATCGATGCTGGGTGAAGGAGGACGAGGGGGCAATGTCGACGGGCATGGCGTACTGAGAGCCGGTCTGGGATGCGGAAGGAAACGGGCCCTGGCTGAAACCGCCGTTGGTGGCGGGTCCCATGGCGGCAGCTTGCGTCGCCGATGCCATGGAGCCCTGGCTCGGCGGCAGGCTGGGGCCTGGCTCGTCGAAGAGGATGAAGTCCTTATTGTGCTGCATCTTGGCGGACGGGCGTGCGGGCGAGTGAGCCGTCCTCGCGCGGCGCGTGTCGGGTCGAGTCGCGATGGCAGGGGCGGATCAGGCCCCGAAAGGGTGTGATGGATGGACGCGGGCGAAGGAGCTGACGACGAGGCGAGTTTGACGACGGTGTGAAAGGGTGACCGCGATTCAGATAACGAAACGCAGAGTGGATGCTTGGCAAAGAGAGAGAGAGAGAGAGAGAGACGAGGGTGGCTGTCCCGCTGGACTGTTGGCCTACCAGGCCGAAGGCTTAGACGAGCTGGCAGCGTCAAGCGGGGCCAGACGGGTAAGCCGAGCGCGGGTCGGTGAGCAGTTCGGATGTGCCTATACCGCTGCCTGTGCGGGTGCGATCCGATGGTTGCGAGCGGGCGTCGTCGGCAAAGAGCCGTTGATTAGCAAGATCCAAGCAGGTAGGCGGGCTGGTCGAGGTCGCTGTCGAGGGATCTGCGCCGTGGTGCTCGTCGTCGCCGTCGCCGTCGCCGTCGTCGGGCACCGAGGACAAGCCTGGCTCGATGTTGGCGCTGGGCGGTGGTCGGCCCGGTGGATGGCAGTGCGATGCGGAAGGGTGCGCTGCGCCTGTTGGATGCGCAATCACGGGTGGAACGGCAGAGTAGCAAGGCCGAACTGGTAGCGCTCTGCTGGCTTGGTCGGACGTGGAGCGACGATGGAGAGACGACGGGGGGCAAGCAAGGTGGGAAGATCAGACGGCGAGCAAGCAAGCAAGGCCAGGTCAGGTCAGGTCAGGTCAGGCCAGGCAGCAGCAAGACAGGTGTCGGTCTGGCTGATGCGACAGGCGGGCGGGCGGGCGAGCCAGCCAGGGCCAGCCTTAGCCAAAGCCGCCAGGGAGCAGGCGGGAAAGGGCAGCGTGCGAGCGCGGCCTGGCTGACCTGGCTCTCTCTCGCTGCCCTGCCCTGCCTTGCGCTGCCTCGCCCAGGCCTGCCGCTGGTGATGCTGGGCTGCTGCTCGTACCGCTGTGCGGACCACTGCGCTCGGCCCCCAGCTGCCGAGTGACGGTCCCTGGCGCCTTGCCCAGCGCTGCTTGGCCTTGCTTGTCTGGCCTGCCTCATGCTCACGCGCCCCGCCTCTCCTTTCCTCTCCTGGCTGACCCGAGGCCAGGCCAGGCCAGGCTAGGCTATCCTCTCTGGCCTGCCCGACTTGGGCCTACCCCTGCGACGCCCAACGACGCGCCTCGCCCTCGCCCTCGCCCTCGCCCTCGCCCGCGAAAAAAGTGGAGCAGGTTCCAGCAGCCTCTGAGTAAGCTGCCCTGCCCTGGCCTGGCCCGGCCGTCGAGATCCAGCAGATGAGGGGACCCTTGATCAGCTCGCTTCTGGCCTCAAGCGACCCGCCCACCCTCCCGCAAGGGTTCTCCCCGCTTCCACGCACTCGGCGGTCGGCCCGCTCGCCCGCGCCAGTCCGATCTCCGAGCCGTCAGCAGGTCTTGCACTTCGAGAGACGGCCAGTTAAACAGGCTCGGGCGTGGCAGTTCAGGCTGTGCCTCGTCGCGACCTCTGCCACCGGTTGCATGGCGGTTACAATTATACAGCCAAAATATCGGCCCCTTGATCACATGAGCCTCCTTAGCTCAGTGGTAGAGCGCGTCACTAGTACTCCGGATCGACGCCGTTCGGTCTTGGACTCGCTATGACGAGGTCAGTCGTTCAAATCGGCTAGGAGGCAATCCCTTTTTTCACTCCTTCTTTTATCCAAGCCTCCCACGGCCTGCTCGAAGATTCTTTTCAGACACAGTCCAGTCACGACGAGGCAGTTGGGTGCGGCGGAGCATGGCGTCGACAGCCGTCACCAGAGCCGACTAGGCCGGCGGCAACGAGATCAGGGATATGACGGGCGACGGCGGTGCTGGGTGGACGATAGACGGGTATGGCGGCCGGGATGCCATCGCCTGGTCGCCTCTTTGACCTGGAAACGAGTGCGAACCGTAGGGACCGTCGCGAGCGAGCGTGCCTTCGATGATGATGATCTCGGCGCGCGGTTCCGAGCTGATGCGAGGCGGGGTCGAGGCAGACGACGGTCATGCTCTCGTCAAAGTGGCTCTGATCGTCGACGACGGGAGACTAATGGGCGACGCAGCGTCCCAGCCTCAGCCTCAGCCTCAAAGGGTCATCCAGCACGCCGCTTTCTCAAGTTGCGGTTTCTGTCATCAGCCTGTTGCTGCGTACGGCGCGTTGCTAATGGCCACTTGAAGCTGGGCATCGGCGATGGCCGCCATCTGGCCCCTTATGATCTCAAGGCGTCGCAAGGAAGCCCGCTTGCAGGCCTCGTCTCATGCCCGCCTCGACGCTCGGCGAGGCCTGGGTGCGGCTGGATACGGCGCGGTGCCCGGTGGGGGAGCCGGCGGGTTGGCCGACTGGCTTGGCGCTGCGCTGCGGTTCGGCCCGCTCGAATGCGGAACGAGGCGCCTCCGCGGCTCAAAGGCGATGTTCTGCGTGCGTGTGCGTGGCCGTGGACGCGACGCCGTGCCGGAGAGGTTTCGCCTCGCCGGCTGCTCGTGGTGGAATGAAGTGGCGGTGCGGAAGACGAAGAAGGCCCAGCGAGGCCGTCAGCCGTTGTTAGGCCCAAGGGCTGGAAGGGAGCGTGCACGGACCATCCCCTGCGCCTGCTTGGCCCTCTAGCCGGCCTGAGCTTCTTGCCTGCTCCACATGCGAGGGCAAACAGCCAGCCGCAAAGGCCCGGCCAGGCCAAGCGAAGACGCCAACGAGCGCTTCCAGGCCGGCAAGCAGGCGCTGGCGGGCAAGCCGCTCAGGGTCCAACCCAAAAAGTGCAAGCAGGTTGGATGAGGCAGGCCAGCTTCTCCAACCCAGCGTGCTCAGGCCCCAAGGCCCGCGCCCGTCTTGTCGCCTTGCCCTGCCTCGCTGCTCGCCACCATCACCACCACCGCCGTCACTCTCCTTCTCGCTCCTAAGTGCAAATCACACTTCAAGCTGTCGCTCCTTCGCCAGTTCACCCTCCGTGCTCGCGCACCTCGCGCGTCGTTCCAGTCCCAGCTCCGTCCATCGCCCCTCGACCTCGCGCCTCTCCACGCCCTCCGTCCATCCCTGCAGCATCGACCCATCTGGACCTGGCTCCGCTCCCTCCTCCCGCCGCCCACCATGTCCGACGGCACCAATGCCACCGCCGCCTCTTCCGCTCCTGCTGGCACCGGAGCTGGAGCCGCACCCGTAGAGGTGCCCGTCCTTGGCTTTACCACCTTCACCGCCCTACCCACCTTTGCCGTCTCGCCCATCCCGCCGCCGCCGGCCACGCGTCGCCTCACCCACTCCGACGGCCCGCTCGTCTGGATCGACTGCGAAATGACCGGCCTTCTCGCCACCGACCGCCTCCTCGAGATCGCCGTCATCATCACCGACGCGCAGCTCAACCCGCTCGACGAGGGCGTCAGCTACGTCATCAAGACGGAAAAGCACGTCCTCGACGCCATGGGCGAGTGGTGTGTGCGTAGCCCCGCTGCTCTGCCTCGGCCCCTCTCTTGTCGTCCAGTGCTGCACAGCCTAGCGTCGTGCTGACATTGATGCGGCTATACCGCCTCGCAATCACCACGACCACCACAACCCAGGTCAACCAACACGGCATCTCGGGTCTCACGGCCGCCTGCCTCGACCCCACCGTCGCCAGGTCGCACCAGGACGTCCGCAAGGCCGTCCTGGCCTACATTATCGACCGCGTACCCGCCAAGCGCATCGGCGTGCTCGCTGGCAACACGGTCCACGCCGACAAGGTCTTCCTGCAGCGCGAGCTGCCAGAGGTGCGTGCGTGTGCGCGCATACAGCCTCCGCCTGGCTGGCCAGCCTAGCGGACTGCGTTGCCTCGACTACCTCCCGTTGGTGGACATGACTGACGAGGTGGCGTGCCTCTTCCGGTCCCCTCGTCGCCTCTGCGCGCAACGACAGCTGGTGGAACACCTGCACTACCGCATCGTCGACGTATCCTCGTTCAAGGAATGCGTCCGCAGGTGGTACGGCGAAGAGCATGTGTGGCAGGGTGGAAAGGGAAGCCACCGGTGCGTACCCTCCACCCCTTTCGACTGCTCCCGCTCCCGATCGGTTCCTTGCGCTGCCGCCCCTTGCCCATCGCTCATCCTCTCTCTTTCACCATCTCGTGCCATCTTCACCAGAGCACTCGACGACATCAGGGGAAGCATCGAAGGTACGTCCCACCCACCCTCTCCCTCGCCTCGCCTCGTCCTGCGCCCAGCCTGTCGTCATTCATCCTGACCCCTTCACTCCCTCTCCCTCTCCCTCTTTCTCTTCTCGCTCCGCTGCCACCACCCACGGCGCGGTAGAGTTGAAGCACTACCGCCAACGCTTCTTCGTCCCGCCCTCGTCGGTCCAGGCTTCCTGAGATCGCGCCATCCGGCTCTATTTCTCGGATCGATGCGAGGGAGGGAGGAAACAGGGTCGCAAATCTCTCGTCTCTAGAACGAGCGGAGTAGGGCTTCCCGCGCCTTGGCCTGGTTCGTCTTGAGCCTGCCAAAGTCCAGTCCAGAAATACACACGCCGGCGGGCAAGCAGGGAAAGGGGTGTCAGCCACTCTGCATCAACTTCGCAGGTACCGCGGCGCTGCGCTGGACACTCACTGTTCATTCTCGACCTCGAGCTCCCGGATGCGCGTGTTGCGTTCCCGCAGCTGCTCCTTGAGCTTTTGAATCTCCTCCTCCATCTCCTTGGCCTTGCCCGCGCTGCTCGCCGCCGAGGATCCGTTGGCGGTGGTGGTGGTCGGAGCGTCATTGTCGCGCAGGGCGGCAAACGTGCTTTTTGCCTCGCTCCGGCCCGTTCCGTCGTGCGAGGGCTGGACAAACGTCGACTTTTGCGAAATCGCCGTGCTCGTCCCGCTGTTGCCGGACGACGACGATGCGGCGGCAGCGGCGGCGGCGGGTGCTGGTGTTGGCGCTGCTTTTGCTGCTGCCGGAGCGGGCGCCGCTGCGGGTGTGGGTGCGGATGCAGGGGCGGGCGTGGCTGGTGCTGGTGCTGCTGCTGCTGCTGGTGCGGCAGCGGCGGGGGTAGCAGCAGCGGGGGCCGCCTTGGGCGCCGACGCCGTGGCCGACGCAGCGGGGATTTGCCCGCCCGTCAGGCCGCGTCCATTCTCAAGGTCGACGAGGTTGCGCGGTGCGCGCTTGCCCTCGAAAATTCCTTGGCCGTCAGGCTGGGCACGTTGCTGGGCGCGGGCGGGAAGATGTCGGCCTGGAAGCTCTCGGCGCGGCGCGGCACCTGGAAGCTCATGGGCTGCACCGTGGTGCCCATGACCTTGTAGGCGCGCGCAATCTCGTTTTCGTCGGTGTTGAGGAAGCGGCGCCCGACAAACGTGAGGCCGCGCTGCGGGTCCGACGACTTTGTCTCGGTGAGGTAGTGGAGCTCGTCGTTTTCGAGCTCGTAGTAGCGGATGTTGCCGTCGCCCTTGCCGGCGAGGAAGACAATGTTGTTGTCGGACCAAAAGGGCATGATGATGCCGCTCGACGTGTCGAGGGTGATGTTGCGGATGGGGCCGGCGGCGAGGTTCTTGGTGTCCCAGAGGAAGAGCTGTCGGTCCGACATCTTGCTGAAGCCCGTCGAGATGGCGCGGTCGCTGTCGCCGCACCAGATGACGCGGGCGCCCTTGACGCCGCCGTGGCTGTCGGCCACCTGGACGGGCTGCTCGCCCTGGCGCGGGTCAAAGGTGCGGATCTTGCGGTCGCGGCAGGTGGCGATGACGGTGGTGCCCGTCCAGTCCCAGTCAAAAGACTGGATGGTGTCGGTGAAGCCGCGGAGCGAGATTGAGGGCGAGGTGGGCGCCGAGTCGGCGTGGGTGACGTCAAAGAGCTTGATGACGTGGTCGGCGGTGGCGGCGGCGAGCACGTTGGAGGCCGTCGGGTGGAAGGCGACCTGGCCCACCTTGCGGCCGCCGGCCGAGATGCGTGCCCAGGGCTGGAAGTCGCGTACGCCGCCGTTGCGCTCGCGCTCCTTTTCGGACCAGTCGAGCTGGTCAAAGTTGGCGTCGTCGATCCTCCAGAGGCCGACGGTGCCGTCGTCGCTGGCGCTGGCGACGAAGCTGTCGTCAAAGGGGCTGAAGGCGGTGTCGAGGACGGGTGCGGTGTGTCCGCGGCAGAGCGGGTAGATGTCGGGCAGCTTGCCGGGGCGGCTGAGGGGGATGATGGCAAAGGCGCCTCCGCCCGATGCCTGCCAGTTTAGCGAAATGTACTTTCCATTGGCGGCGATGAGGTTCGTGTCCCAGGCCGAGTTGGAGACCTTTGCGTTTTCATAACTGGCCTCCTTTTTGGCGGGGGTGCCAAAGACGTGGCGGTACTTGGACGGTCGCACGAACCGGCTCATGGCGGGCGCGAGGGGGCGGGGCGGGCGGTTGAGGGTGGAATGGGGGGAAGGGGGGCGGGTGAGGGTGTCGATAAAAGGGTGAGCGAGCGAGGGGGTGAGGAGATGGCGGTGATGGCGGTGGTGATGGCGGTGGTGATGGTCGACTCTGTGAGGCCTGGAGAAGGGCAGGAGCGAGGCCGAGGGTAGCAGACGAGAGGGCTGCTGGCGATCCGTCCGGCGATGGTGCCGTCGAGTTGGATCAAAGGGGGGCGGTGCATCGGAGCGGGCCGTCGTCCGATGCTGCGCCGCCCACCGGCTAGAGCGTGGCCAGCTGGCCAGGCCAGGCCAGGCAGGCCAGGCTTTGAAGCCCCGCCCTGGCTTTGCTGGCTCACGGCGATCCGTGCGCCCGCCTCCTCGCCCCGAACCCGAGACAGCGGGCGACTTCTTCCAGACCCTCTCCTTACGTCAGCCTGACAAGCAGCACCACCCTCAACCGTGAGGCTAGGGCTGGCCCAGGCTCGACCCCCCACCCCCTACCTGTCCGCGTCGCGCGCTTCCAGGCAACGCGCAGCCAAAGTGGCAGGCAGGCAGACCAAAGGCCAGCCCGAGCAGGCGCAGGCCAACAGGCGGCTGGCTGGCTGGCTGGCTGGCTGGCCGGGCGGCGGGCGGACCAACTTTTTCCAAGCCGCCACCAAGCATCCTCGATTCACCCACCGCCTCCGCCTTTTCTCCCAACACCCCTCCATCCCCCCGCTCAGCCTTCGCGCGCTTGTCTGCCGCCGTCACCTCGATCGCCTCGCACACCGCGTCGTACCCTCCTTTCTCTCGCCGCCTCGCTCGACTGCTTTGGCCTCCTGACCCTCCGCCCCTCGACTGCAACTGCGACGACGACGACGACGACGACGACGACGACAACGACGACAACGACAACGACGGCCGTGCTGCGCCGCACCACATCCCGCCTCTCCACGACCGCCCACCATGTCGACCACCACGCAATGGGACAACATCTTCCACGGCCTCGATACCACCGCGGGTAAGCTGCGCATGTCGTCCGGCGGCCTCGGCTGGAAGCCCATCGGCGGAGACGCCAGCGCCACCATCACCATCCCCGCAGACCACATGCACGCCTTCCACTGGGTCCGCGTCGCACGCAACTTCCAGCTCTCCATCCACCTCAACCGCGACCGAGAGACGCCGCTCCCAAGCCAGCCCAACCCGCGCCGCTCCACCTTTGACGGCTTCCTGCGCGAAGACTACGACAAGCTCGCCGCACAGATCCGCCAGTTCTTTGGCAAGCCCCTCGAGGCCACTGAGATCTCGATGCGCGGCTGGAACTGGGGCAAGGCAGACATCAGCAACACCGACGTCCAGTTTCTCGTGCGCGACAAGCTCGCCTTTGAGCTGCCCCTCGCCCACCTCGCCAACAGCAACATCGCAAAGACCGAGGTCTCGATGGAGTTCCTCAACCCCGAGCAGCAGCAGCCCGTCGCCAACACGGGCGCATCGGCAGACGGCCGCGCCAGCTCCAGCAGCAAGTCGAGGAAGGGCAAGGGCGACCAGCTCGTCGAGATGCGCTTCTACATCCCCGGACAGGCCACAAAGGACGACGCCAGCGACGCCGCAGGAGAGGGCGCGGCGGCCGGGGCGGCGGGCGGCGCGGACGGCGCAGACGGCGACAACGAGACGGCCGCCGAGGCGTTCCACGAGGCGCTCAAGTCCAAGGCCGACATTGGCCAGGTGGCCGGCGACTCGATTGTCGTCTTCAAGGAGGTCCTCGTCCTCACGCCGCGCGGCCGCTACGACATCGACGTCTTCCACAACTTTATCCGCCTGCGCGGCAAGACGTACGACTACAAGATCCTCCACAGCTCGATGAACAAGCTCTTCCTCCTGCCCAAGTCCGACGAGATCCACGTCATGCTCGTCATCGGCCTCGACCCGCCCATCCGCCAGGGCCAGACCCGCTACCCCTACCTCGTTCTCCAGTTCCCGCGCGAGGAGGAGATGGACGCCGAGCTCAACATCGACGACGAGACGCTCCAGACAAAGTACGACGGCAAGCTCAAGAAGCGGTACGAGGAGCCCACGTTCCGCATCGTCACCAACATGTTCAAGGTGCTCTCGGGCCAGAAGGTGTCGACGCCCGGCGAGTTTGAGTCGAGCAGCGGCCAGAGCAGCATCAAGTGCAACGTCAAGGCCACCGACGGCAACCTGTACCCGCTGGAAAAGTCGCTCATCTGGGTTTCCAAGCAGCCCGTCTACGTGCCCTACTCGGACATCCACCAGGCCGTGCTGAGCCGCGTCGGCGGGGCGGTGGCGTCGTCCAAGACGTTTGACCTGCGCGTCATCAACAAGAGCGGGTCGGAGCACACGTTCCAGAGCATCTCGCGCGAGGAGCTCGACCGGCTCAAGGCGCACCTGGGCGAGCGCAAGGTCAAGATCAAGAACGAGATGGCCGAGGAGACGGGCGGCATTGCCGCCGCCGCCGCCGCCGGCCTGCTGAGCGACGACGACGAGGACATGGAGGACGTCGGCGGGCGGGGCGGCGGCGACGACGACGACGAGGACAGCGAGGAGGACGAGGACTTCCGCGACGAGGACAGCGATGACGGCGGATCGCCCTCGGAGGCGTCGAGCGACGAAGACGATGGCGGCGGCGCGGGTGGTGCGAGCGATGCCGAGCGGCCACGCAAGAAGCGAAAGGATTGAGCGGAGTGCGCGCGCGGTCGTCGATCGAATGATCTGCTCGTCTGCTCTCCTGACCTCCCTGTGGCAGCAACGTCGCTCGTCGACATCGACACGCCGATGCCCGAATGAATGTATTCTATATCACCACGACGGGGCGACCGGCCCGCACGGCGACGTTGCAAGCTCAACATCACTGCATTGACTCAAAGGTAGCCCAGCCCAGCCCAGCCCGGCCCGGCCAGGCCAGGCCAGGCCGAGATAAGCCCAGTTCAGACCAGCTCTGCAACCATGGCGAGATGTGTCGACGACCGCAGCCTCTATGACCCGTCGGGCATCTCGCCCTTGCCTTCATGCCTCCACCGCTGGAGGACAGCGGCGGTCCAAGCCTCGTCGCAGAGCAGTCGCTCGGCTCTATCAGTCAACCACGCCACGTTTCCCCAGAACCCACCGCTCCATCCGGCGAGGAAGCAGGTCCAAGCGACGAGGGCGAGGTCAAAGTCGGCCTCGAGGTCGGCGAGCGGGTACCACTGTGTTCTTGCCTCGTGCGCGTCACGGATGCCGAGCTGGTCGAGTGGCAGCGCGTCGATCAAGATGTCGTGGTACATCTTCAGCAGCTCGTCCGCAGACGCGGAGGGGGAGAGGAGCGAAGTGGGGATCGAGGTGGCGAAAAACTTGGCCAGATCCTGTACGCCCAGCGAGAGACCTGGGTACTGGAAATCGTAAAATGCCACCGCCTGGCCCGCCGAAGACGACGAGGAAGAGGGAGAGGAGAAGGCCATGTTGGCAGCTTTGACGTCGCCGTGGCATAGCGTCAGCCTTGAACGCAGACGAGGGCTGCGCAGACACCAGTCGATGGCGTAGGGGAGGGGCGAGTCCTTGTGCAGACCGAGCCGACCCCACTTTGACGTCGGGGCGATGGCGGCCAGTTCCGACAGGCGCGTAGAGAGGTAGGTGTACCCGCCCTGTCTCCACAGGCCTGTCCTATCGCCGTCGTCGGTGCCGGACGGCGACGAGGACGGCACCGAGGGGGGAGGAAAGAAGTCGTCCAGATCGACCCGCTGCGCAAGACCGGAAAAGGTGGCGTGGTACTTTGCGAGCCACTCGACGGCGAGGTGGACCTGGGACGGGGAGAGCGTGGCCCTCTTTTCCGCAAACTCCGGAAAGCCGTCGCGCAGGTCGGTCAGGAGCGTCGCCCTACCTCCTCGACTCGTCAGCGCCGTGCCGACCAGGGAGGGGGCGTGCACGTCGGCCGGGAGGCGTGTGCGGAAGCGCGCGTAAAAGTTGGTCTCTACGACGTACGAGATGCGTTTGCGTTCCGACGAAAGCGAAGAGGAGGATGAGGGAGCGGGAGCGTCGATGTACTTGAGTATCAGCGTGTAGCGTGATGGCGGCGGCGAGGAGGAGGAGGAAGGGGGCGGCGCGGAGGAGAGGGTGAGGCGGAAGATGGCACCGTACCCGGCCCAAAGATCCGTCAGGTGCTCGGCATGGACGATCGAGTGCGATGGTGGTAGGAGGGGACGCAGAGCATCCCGCACGTCATCCGGCAGCGAGGCCATGTGTGCGTCCTGGTACAGAAGGTCGGAGGGTGGCGATGACGGCGGTGATGGTCGGTAGGAGGGAAGAAGAAGGAAGAAGCAAGGTGGGCCGCCTGTCCTTTGTCCCGCGGCCCGTGCGCGCCAGGGTCCAGCTCGGGATGCCTGACAGCCGCGCCGAGCTCAGCTTTGCACATAGCCTGTCAAGAGCCGGCTCGGGACGGCATGGCGCTCAACCTCGCCCCCTCCGCTCCTCCTTTTGCCACCGCTTGCCCCGGCTTCGTCGACTCATTTGCAACCCCAGGCATCCGCACTGCCAGCCCATCGTATGACCCGTTCGTTGCGATCGGCCAGCTCGCCGATGGCACCAAGCGGCCGGAATTGGGCCTCTGGTACCTCGACCCCTTACCTCCTATCGTCCCTGGGTCATCCTTGCTCCTTGTCGTCCCACTCTGGGGATACACCAAACCGAGCTCAATCGGACTCGCTCGTCATTGAGGCCGAGGTGAAATCTTCGTTCTGCCTCGACCTTCCGCGAGTCTGATTGGGTAGGGCATACTTTGCCCCCGACAGCTATCGCCAGCCTCAACTCACATCTCCATCGCCCCTGTCTCAGGTAGTATCGCATCCTTGTTCTAGCCGAGTTGGGTTTCCCAGAGCTCTCGAAGTCTTACAGATCCGACACAATGCCGATGTGGGTCGAGATTGCGCCTCACGATTGCCGTCGCTGCTCAGTGGTCTTGGCCCCCCCACCACCACCACCACCTTGCTGAGCTCGACACGACGCCCGAGTGGGTCGAGTTTGCAGCTGCCGGCACGGCTCATCCCCAGGCTGAGCACCGATTCGCCCTCTCGCCGACGCCGGGCGGGCAGCAAAGACATAAAAAGCGGGTCAAACGGCCCCTTGGCTCCCTTGAGCCTACTGACTCGCGTCTTCAACGCCCTCTCTATCTCTTGCACTCCCCGCAACCAGCAACCAGCAACCATGAAGCTCTCCACCCGCTCCGCCCTGCTCCTGATGGTGCTTCTTGTCGCCCAATACGCAGCAGCCGCCAACCCTTGTGCCGACGCTTACACACCAGGCGTCAAGTGGAAGACATACGTAGCAGGCAAGCTAGGGTGGTTCAACGTCGCCATCCTCAAAGACCATTACCAGTACCAATTCGCTTCGGCGACGGACGGAGCTAACGCCGGCAGCTGGACGCTCGAACAGAAGCTCGGCCCGAACAACATGGAAACCATCGTCCCGCTGACCTCGGCCTACAGCTGCTTCAACGTGGACCCTACATCCTCTGGGGATGCCGTCAATGCCATCAACGCGTTCGTCCTTGGCGCCACCGACCGCCTCCAGGACTACTATATCAACTGTGAGCATCGCAGCGTCAGACGCCTTCGTTCTCACGACTTCCTGGTCTGACTCGCCTCGCCCCCCGTGTACGCATGCGCACACAGACAAGGGAGCTCTTGGCCAGCTGTCCGCGTAGCAGGCTCAACCAGGTGGCACGCAGTGCCACGTCACGGCGTGGAAAGAACAGTGCCAGTCTTGGCTGCTCTCAGCTTTCCGACTCGCCGCCTTGTGTGCCGCAAAGCAGCACACCGGAGGTCTGCCCACACCATTTCGCGACGACGAGGGTCGCTGCGCGAGCATGAGAGCGTGACCTGCCAAGAGCCGGCCGGCCGGCGCAGATCGAAATTGGCCTCGTTCCGCTCGTTTTGTATCGTCGTCACAAATCGCTGAACCCGAACTTCGTATGTATCCCGCGCAACGATTACGCTTGCTTTTCCAGCCTTGGTGCCGACCTCGAGCATTTTGCAACTGCGCAGGCGGTGCCGCCTGGACGCAGGTCTCCCGCGTGCAAGCCCACGCCCAGCCTCGGGCTAGTCGATGTCGTCTTGCTGCGCCCGACCACCGCAGCCTCGGTCTTGACTCGAGCGCGTCGGGTTGCTTTCTGCCTCGCCCCCTCCTGACCTCCGGAACGCCCCCTTCGGCCCCACAGGGGCTGCGATAGGTCCTACACTGTCCCACTCTGGATAGAACCAGTTCAAGCTCTATCAATTCCGCTCGGTTTTGGCCCACCAGAGGCGCCGTCGTCATTCTGCCCCCACCTTGCGTGATGCCGATGGTGATGTCAGCCCTGCCCCGGGCATCGATCGGCCACCTCGACTCGCGACTTCAATGAACCCCAGCCAGTATCACATCCTTGTTCTACAGCGGTAGCTGGCTGATGTGCGCCTGAGCTCACAAAGACGCTCGCATTGCTGTCACCCACATACATAGATCAGGGAGATCCGAAACAACGCCGTCGTGGATCGAGGATGCGATTCACAACTGCCGACGCTGCTCATTACATATATTCAGATTGGTCTTGGCCGGCCCCACCTCTCTCGGCTCGATACAGCGCCTGCGTGGGTCTAGAATGCAACAGCCGAAGCCGCTCATCCTCGGAACGAGCAGCGGATCATCCTCTCGACGACAGTTGTCGCACAGCAAACACATACATAAAGAGCGCGTCAAACGGCCCCTTGACCCCCCGAGCCTACTCATTCGCGTCCCCAGCGCCCACGCCCTCTCCACCTCTCGCACTCTCCGCAACCAGCAACCATGAAGCTCTGCACCGGCCCCGTCCTGCTCCTGACCGTGCTGTTTGCTGTCCAGCACGCAGCAGTCGCCGACGATTGTCTCGACAGTCCCCCGCCGGGCCGCGATTGGTGGACTTTTCGGGCAGGTCGCCTCGGAAGCTTCGAGGTTTGGAGTCTCGGAAACGGCAGATACCAATTCGAATTCGAACCAAACGACGGACAGCCTGCCGACTCGACCTGGACTCTCGAACAGAAACTCGGCCCGAACGATATGGAGACCATCATCCGGCCGACCCACGCCACCAGCTGCGCCAATGTGGACTCTGAAGCTTATTCAGACGCTACCAACGCTCTCAATGCCTTCGTCCTCGCGCAGTATGACCGCCTGCAGAACTACTACATCAGCTGTGAGCATCGCTGCGGCAAAGCGTTCCCCCCCTCCCCTCCATTCCGGGGCCAACTGACTGACATGTTTTGCTCCTCTGTACCAATGTACGTACACACACACAGACAATGGACAACTCGGCCAGCTTGGCCTGTACAACTACTGATGGCATGGCACTGTGTGGCACAGCGCAGACAGGGCAGTGATGGTCTTGGCCTCGCCCGCCCCTCGGCGCTGCCAGTTTGTGCACTGCACAGCGGCATAGCGGACATCTGTCAAATCATCCCGAGACGACGAACGGTTGCCGCGCGAGCACGAGAGCGTGTGCGCCCAGGGTGCTCCTCCATCGCACTGCCTCCATTTCTAGCCGCCCTTCTCGCCTTTCCAGCATCCCTCCCTCCTCTCTCCTCTGTTGCCGTGGGCGTGTTCAGCTGTTGCCTGACCGCTCAGCTAGAACATGCGTGTGTCACTCGCTGCAGGCGCTCGTTGATGTCGACAATCTGCCGCCTCGCCGCCGATCCGGCGTGTCCGAAGCCCTCTGGCAAGCACCACGTTCCTGGTATTTCTGCCGGCGAACTGTGACGAGTCCTCTGCCCTCTTGAGCCGTGCTGCATGTGGGACGACCACTCGCCGGTAAGCCACTTGCAGCGCATCTTGACCTTGACGCCTGCCTCATTTCCCGCTTTGAAGTGGTCTCGGCATTTGCGCAGCCTGCTTCATGGCGACGCCGAGTGAGGAGCCCAAGGATGAAATTGGGGCGGTCGTAGGTGGGTTGCAATGCTGAGACAGCCGCCGTTCAAGGCGGAACACTCTGCTACGGTCGTCCTGCCACCGTGGCTCGCCTGCCTGGCAACCATGCCGCATCTTGCTGCCCCATACGGGTATCTTTCGTGCCCTTTGACGCCATTCTGGGCGCTGCCCCCCCCTGCAGTATCATTCTTCTTGATTCATGATTGCGCCCATGGGGCGCTCGACCCACCTCCGGACAGCGTGACTGCCGACGACCGGCAATGTCACGATTTTCGTCACTTTGCGACGTCAAACACCCATCTCGGAGGCACCACTTGCGAGGATACGAGGTGGGGCGTACGGAAATCTCGATACTTTCCCCTTCCGGCCAGCACAACCAGCAGCGACGAGGGCAAGTAAGGAAAGGCATACATAAATACACAGCTGTCCTGACTGAGCGTGCCGTCCCTTCTCGGACAAGCCTCTCCTCCCTCACCAAGCTCAAGCTCAACTCGTCAACGATGCAGATCACCGCCGCCTTCCTGTTCCTCTCTGGCCTGCTGAGCGCCAGCAGCTGTCGCGCCTAGACGATTTCGTGGACGGTCGAGGGCAAGCCCGCCAGCGGCCTTACCGCTAGCGCCGTCGCCATTTTGGTGCCCCCCGTAGGTGGAACAGCGGCCTGGCCCTACGGCAACTTCTACGTCAACAGCCAGGGATCGCTAGACGTCTTCTGCTTCGAAGCCGTCAGGCCGATGGGTGCCATTAACTGGGCCCTGACCATCGACGGACATTCCATCACCCGCCCGCACCCGAACATGGACTGCGCGGTCCCTGATCCGGGCTCGCAGGCCGCCCAAGCCGTCGATGTCTTCAAGAAGGGCAAAGGAGATGTCACCCGCTACGGTATTATCTGTGAGTAACCTCGATGGGCCGCCTGGTCGACCTTGACGCGGACCGCATCTCATCCGTGTCGCCGCTCCTTGCTCCTCACCTTTGTCGCCACGCAGACAACGGAAAGGGTCCCGTTACCGACTTCCGCGCTGTCAGCCCCATTCATAACTAGATACGACGTCGTGGCTCAGTAAGGATGTACGGATCCCTCGTACCTCGACTGTCACGGGTCGCTACCTTCCGACAAGCAATTCTGTCTTCTACGGCCGCAGTCTTGTTGCTACCTCATGTCGCTTCGAGCCTTGATCCGTATCTAATTTGATGTGAACACTGCTTGCCCCGCAGCATCGGGTTGCAGCGGCCCCTTCTGAACAGCTCAGCGAGCGGGGGCTAGCCACCTCATCGTATCGCTTGCCCGCCTATCGAGCTCTCTGAGCTTCGAGACTGCGACATCGCCCGACTTCGGAGCGACCCTTGCCTCCGCGTCTGGGAAGGCTTGTCCACTTTGCGCCTTGTTGTACTGGACCCGCCCTGACCCACCTCGACCCACCTCGACCTACCTCGACCCACCTCGACCCACCTCGACCCACCTCGACCCACCTCGACCCACCTCGATCCACCTCGACCCACCTCGACCCACCTCGACCCATCTCAGCCCCTCTCGACCCACCAAACCCGGACAACGACATGGGCGACGTACGATGATGGGCTGACGATCTGGCAATGATGGGCGCGGTCCATTGAGAGGTGGGTCGAGATCGTAGGCCCCTCATTACAGCCAGCCGGGCCGGGCCCTCGATCGGTGGGTCGAGGGAGACTTCGATGGCCTCCGGCCCGTTGACTCGGGAACTGTCGCCTCGAACTGGCAGCCGTCTTCCGTCCCAGCTCGAGCCCGTCGTAAGCAAGGTGGGGCTCAAACGCCATGACTGCACCTTCGGCCCCGGACATTCGGCCCGTACGCTTGTCCGATCTTTTCCTGCCCCACCGATTCGGACGAGGGCTTCCGGTAGGCCATCGAGACCGGGAAGGGTATATAGCTAGGCACCTCACGTCGTCCCCCTGCCCGCCCCGTCGATTCAACCGCGCAGACTCCCCTCCCCTGTCGATTCGACCACGCAGACTCCCACCCCTTCAAATCGCGCGACCCTATTCGTACCGCCAACATGAAGCTCTCCGCCAGCCTGTACTCAGTCGCGGCCCTGATGCTGGCCGGTGTCAGCCTCGCTCTTCCGGATGACATCGGCGAGACTCCTTACCCTAACTATCCCTCCGGTAGCGACAGTTGGACCGTCGACGGTGGAGAGCCCGGTACGGTCCCCACCGCCATTCTCGCGACCGCCATGGGCTCGGCGGGCATGTTTCAGATCTTCACGTCGGACGCCGATGGTGACCTCCTCTGCTTCTCAACCGAGGGCGCCGCCACTTCGAGCCGCTGGCAGATGTTCGACAACAATGTTGCCATCACTCTGGGCCATCCTGACGTGGACTGCAGCCGCGCCAAGGACGATCCGAGGAGGCAAGCGGCCGTCAAGGCGATCAGCAGCAAGGACTTCAAGTCTGGCCGCTATAGCTTCCAGGGTGGGTATAAGCAAGCTCTTGGACGTGGCTAAGGAAAAACAGGGTAGCTGACATGGCGGTGCTTTCTCTGTCCTATGTCTGTTGCCCGGTGCCTCATGAACAGTCGGCAAGCAGAGGGTGTGGTTGCAGAACAACCCTTTGGCTCTGTCCAACACTCGGCCGCGCGCATGAACGACGCTCTTGGCGTTTTCGCGGTCCAGCGCTCGTGGAATGCTCTCCGCTCCCCACGGCGCTCAGCTGGGTAGATTGCGCGCCTGCTCGGTCCGTTCAGGCGACGGCCCATCCCGCCTCGCAGCGTGGCGTCGCGCCGCCTAGGTGACGCGCGTAGCCGCCGCAACGTTTCCCGTTTCATGTCAGTCAGCTAGTCCGAATGCCCTTTTCATCGATCGCAAGACCCCCTAGCCAGCCCTTCCAACATGAGTGTGACCCGACATGCTACCCCGAACGTAGCTTCTCCATGCGTCCAACTTATCCGTGTTTACGCCCTGCCCGACCGACCCTGCGGCGGCTGCAGAGTCGTTATGAGGCCCGACGCACTTCTGTGGTGTGCAGATGAAGCTATGGCGAAGCATCGCATCAGGAGAGGGCGGTTGAGTAGTATCGAGGGAGCGGCGGGCAGCGAACGGCCTCGAGGCGGCCTGGTGCTTCCAGAAGGGCAGTGCCTCACGATAGATGAATGCATCGAATAAGGTGTCTGCCCTCTCTCCCTCGGGTCTCGTCGGCTTGAGCAGCTGTTGCCACCGCTATGTATGTAGCTCGAGTGCGAGCAGGATGCGCTATCGCTGGCAAGATATGGACCTGCGCCGTTGGCGGGGCCCAATCGCTCCAGGAAGCCGTGTTGGGGTGGTTCTGCGGTGATTGCCGCTGCTTCAGCTTTGGAAGCCGGCCATTGCTGCACCGCCACATTCGGGCAGAGTCAAGATCATATTGCACCCCACCCTCCGCCCTGTTGTGCGGGGATCGGGGACCCACCGACGTACGAGGTGGGCGCGAAACGATTGACCGAAGAGTGCGGCACAGAGGTAGTAGTAGGGGGATGGAGAGGTTTTCGTATAAGGGATCCATGGTCGCCCTCCCTCCCTTTGCGCCTCGACCGTCCGCCCTTTCCTCTCTCTCTCACCCCAGAAGACCAGACAAGCCACTAAGATGAAGCTCTCTCTCGCTCTTCTGCCCATCGCAGTGGTCCTGCTGGCCGGTAGCAGCTCAGCCCTCGTCCCTCCTACTCTGCCCACCGCGGATGGAAACCCGGTCCGCCAGGTCAGGTTGGTGGGCAGTCGCGAGGCCAGCGGACTCGGCACGCTCAAGCTCTACGAAAGCTATGATGCGGGCCAGCTCTTCTGCCTCGCCACTAGCCTTGGCCCCGGTTCGTGGAGGCTGCAGGACAGGGGGCAGGACGTCACGCTCCAGCCCCATCCCATCGGCGACTGCGCCCGTGTCGGGAACGACGCCAAGAAGAAGGCGGCCTTCCAGCTTCTCCAGAGCGGCAAGTTCCGTCCCCGGGAGTTCAGCATCATCGGTGAGTGATTCGTCCACGTCGGATGCCTATGATCCTCGGGCGCGGCGGCTGATGCCCCGACCTCGTCGACTCGTTTCATCGCGCTCGAACGCTAGTGGGTGGCAGGCTGCCCTTCTACCTGGAGCCGCCGTCGCAGGGCTGAGTCCAGAGCCCGAGCCATCCTGCACCGCACTCGTCGGCCGGATCGAGATGGCGCTGGCAGGCAAGGCTAGTCACCACTCTGGAAGGCGTCGCGGGGCGCCCGTGCTCTTGTTCCGTACCAACTTCGCCATCGAATGTCGATCCCGTGTTTTCTTCTCTTTGTCGAGGCTTTGCAGGGGAGCATGGGGAGCAACTCGGGGGCAAAGCGCCGGGGGGTCTCCATCCGGCCCGACGGCGTCGGCACGTCTCGGATCCTGAGCGCGTATCTGAGCAACTCTCCGTTGGCTCTGTGCAACCACCGGAGGTCGGGCGGCCGTCCGTGGAGGCTGCAGATCAGAGCGTCGCGAGGTCACGCCCGAGCTTCGCATGATGATGGACTCGATGCCCTCGGGGTAATATCCGTGACTTTGATGATGTGCGATGCTCTCAATGGATGGATGTACATGCAGCAGCGGCAAAAGGCCTGAACGGGACACTCCCCGTCGATGTCGCATCACATGCGGCCCTGTCCGTTGGCCGTCGCATGTCGTCGCCCTTTTCTATCCACGCCCCTCCGTGATCTCGTCGTCGTCGTCGTCGTCGTCGCGACGCGCGGCCGGCTTAGACCAGGGGCACAAACGCCGCCCGCTCGGCCCAGCCGAGCTCGCCGCGCTCCGTCTTGCCAAAGTAGTACCGCCGGTCCTCGCTGTCAATGTACAGCACCCGGAACAGGTCGCCCGTGGCGTACTCGAGCAGCGGGTAGCCGTAGACGCTGCTGGCCTGCGCCTCGTGCGAGCGCCCAGGGCTGTCGGCCACGGCCGCCATGGTCGCCACCACCTGGTGCTGGCTCGACAGGATGTCCGTCAGCCGGGACGCCACGGTCGACGCCGACGAAGATGCCGACGCCGTCGAGGCCTCTGCCGCGTAGCTGATGTTGGGTTCACCCGTCGGCGGTGTAAAGGCGCCTCCACCCGCCACGGAAAACGACGAGCGCTGCGAGTGGGCCAGCGTCCTGAGCGACGGCGCCGAATGCGTGTTGGTCGACCGCAGCTCGTCGGCATTGTCTTCCGAGATTGAGCTGGCCCGCTCCGGGATGCGCTCCAAAAAGGAAGCGTCGCGGCTGTCGTCGGCGCCGGTCCCAAACAGCGTCTCGCTGCCGCTGAAGGTGAGCGCGGGCAGCACCGGCACGCTCGTCCTCTTGCTGGCCTCGGCTGACCGCTCCTCGACGAGGTCCCTCTTGAAAAACGAGCGGAGCGGCGTGTCTTTGCTGATCGGCGTCGGCGGCTTGGATGATGCGGCATCGTCTGCGTCGTCTTCCGACGGCTTCGCCGCGCTCGGCCCCGTCGCAGCACCGTGATCCTCTAGATGAAGCCGAGTCAGCCCCATGCGAGGGCTGACCATGCTGTCGTTGCTGCTGGCGGGTCGCGAGGGATGGCTGGACACGCTGCCTCGGCCCCAATTCATCCCCAGGCTGCCGAATGCGCCGGAGCCGGCGCCACCAACGCCGCTGCCTCCGCTGCCGCGGCCACCGCCGACGCCCGCGTCCGCGCCGAGCACGGATGAGATCTGCACCGGCGATCCGAGCCCTTGCTCGGTGCCGTTGAGCTTTGGCGACGTTGAGCCGATCGCTGGCGAAGAGTAGGGCGTCGGCTCCCGGGAGCCGCTGGCGGTCATGAACGAGCCGCGAGAGCCCGTTGCATCGCCGCGCTTGGCCACGGGCAGCTGCTCGAGCAGGGGCGTCATGCTGTAGGTGGGGTTCGCGACCGTGGGCGGCGTGAACTCGGGCTTGGGCAGATCGGTGCGAAGCTGCAGCGGCGAGAAGCCGGCGGCCGACGCGTTGCTGGGCTCGGCCTCGTGCCGCCGCCGCGTGATCTGCAGGTTCTCGGCGTAGGCTGCGATGCCGCTGTGCACCTCCCAAAACATCTTGACCGGATTGAGGTGGCGCATGCTGGGCTGCTGCGTCTGCGGGTCAGGCCGGATCTCCTCCTCGCGATCGGCCCATGCAAAGTTGCGCCAGAAGTCGACCAGCGCCCGCTGCACGCGCATGTGGTGCGCCGCCTGCAGCCGCGCCAGCGACTCGACGCAGATGTCGACCAGGCTCTGCACGCCGTAGTTGAACTGCGGCAGCTCATCCATGAGCTGGGTGTGCAACGCGACGAACGCGCCGGCGCTCTCGGCCAGTTTGCGGTCGGGCGCCTTTGCACCGGCCTTGAGCATCTCGTTGCGGTACCGCGTGTAGTCGGGCTCGCGGTCGTTGCGCTTCGCCACCACCGACTTTGGGTTGGAAAACATCCGCGCAAGGCGCTCCGCCATCGGGACGATGCTCGAGCGGATCTCGGCGTCGAGCTGCTGCCACGCCTCGTCGACCAGGCGGTCCCTGAGGATCGAGAGCAGGGCCACGAGCCTCTCGTCGACTCCCGCGGCTGCCGAGTCGGACGCGTCGTCGTCGAGCAGGTACACCTGCCGCCAGCGCTCGAGCAGGCCGACCTGGGCGACGTAGCACTGCCGCAGGCTCTCGGACCAGTCGAGACACTGCCGCGGCAGCGCTTCCAGGCCAGCCTCGAGGCGGAGCAGCTGCTCCACCAGCGACCGGTACGTCTGCTCGTCCTCTGCGATGATGTCCGGCGGCGGGCCGACGACGGCGGTGCGGATCTTTTCCTGCTGCCGCTTGATCTTCTTGATGGTGCCGTGCTGCACCTTTTGGCTGGCGGTGCGGCGGGCGGCCTTGCCGGCGACGATCTGGTCGACGAGATCCTTGCGCTTCTTGACCTCGTTGATGTGGTCGGCCACCTTCTGGATCTCGACCAGCGAGGCGCGCAGCTCGGCGTGGTCCGGATGCTCCTCGGAGGTGTTGGCGAGGAGCTCGTGGATGAGCAGCGGGTACTTGAGCACGCGCTGCACCGGCTTGATGAGGAGCGAAGACAGGTCCCAGGCGTTGGTGTGCCGGCGCGCGACGGCGGTGCAGTCTCGGAGGAATGCCGATACCTTGGGCTCGGACGACAAGAGCTCTTGCAGCCTCGACATCGAAGCTTCGTGCCGGGAGCAGTACGCCGCATACACCTGGTCGATGCGCGGCATCTACGTGGGCGGCGGAGAGAGGATGAGGCGTCAGCAAATGGCCCAGTGTCGCGGCCGGTCCGACGCAAGGCGAGCGAGTTTACTCACCAGCCGCAGAAAGGCGCCTCCGACGCGGTCGTCCTCGTCCCTCTCGCGGACGCCCTCCTTTGCTAGGGCGGCGTTGGCCTCCTCGGCCGTGACGGTGCAGCGGCTGCCCACAGCCGCTTCGAGGACCGCCGTCATCTCGTCGGCCAACGCAGCGCACTGCTCGAGCTGGGCAAAGATGATGCGAACGTCGGCTGCGCTAAAGGGAGCATCGGGCGTACCTGGACCCGCGGAGAAGCTGCCGCCGGGGTAGCCTGGCAGGAAGCTGGTGGGCGTCGACGCAGTGGACGGTGCCGACGAACTGCCGAGGCTGGCGGAGCTGTGATTGGCGAGGCGGCTCATGGGCGGTGCTGCGCCGGCGGCCGCGGCGACAATGGCGGTGGCAGCGACGGCTTTGGCCCCATTGACCGGCTGCCTCGCCAGCGCTCCCGACGTCGGGCCCGGAGACAGCGGCGGTCCGCCAGCGCGGATGCCGCCGACGCTGGACGGCAGAGGTGGCAGCGGATGGGCAGCACCATCGGACGTCTGGGAGCTCAGCGACGACACGGTGTAGGTCGACGACCGGTTGCTCGGATTGCTCGACGCAAACGAGGCGGGTGAGGTCGAGGTGTGCGTCATGGCCGTGGTACCGCCGAGGCTGTGCGGGTTCGAGTCGGCCGAGACGTGGCGCAGCAGGTGCTTTGCCGGCGATTGCGGGTTCGGCTGCATAATCGTCGGCGGCTGGCCCAACGACTGCGGCAGCCTCTGCTGCTGGGATTGCGGTAACGCCTGGTGCTGCGACTGCGGCCGGGATGGCGCTGGCGATGCAGTGACCGGCTGGAAGAAGCCCGAGGAGCTGAGTCCAAAGGGAGAGGCCTGGCTAGCCACGACGATCCCAGCCAGCGTTCGGGCCCGCGCCAGGTAGACGTCGCGGGCGACAGCGAGGTCCGAGGCGTAGCTTCGCTCCGTCTCGAGCAGCTCTCGTAACACGTACCACCGCTTGACGACGCGCTTCTGCTCGTCGTCGAGGTGCTCCCGGTCAATGATCCACGGGCGCGGCTTTGTGGCTAGGCTCGCGCCTACGGACGGGCTCGGCGACGCAGGTCCGGCCGGGACGCCGTGGATGGCAACGGCGGCGGCAGCAGCAGCAGCAGCAGAAGCAGCAGCCCGCGCGTCTCCGCTCGAAGCTGGCAGACCATCGACGACCGCCGGTGACCCGAGCCTGCCGTTAACCAAAGTGTCGAGCGCCCCGTCGCCGAGCGATTGGACGTGCTGGGCAACCACCTCGTCATCAAAAACGCGACGGATCTGGGGCCGCACCGCTTCGCCCTTGGCCTTTTTGGTGCCCTTGCTCTTCCTCAGTGTGTTGGGCGCCGCTGCCACGTCGGGGTCGTGATCGCCGCCTCCGAGGTCCCGCGCAAACGACCAGATCTTGCTGCCTGTGCCGCCCTCCTTCTTGCGCTTCTCGTTGCCGGGCGTCGCGCCGACGGCCGAGGCGGCCTCGCTGGCCTCGTTGGACGCGTCGACCGTCTTGCTCCGGCTACGGCCCGTACGGAACGAGCTGCCGAGCGTCAGCTTGGAGCGCTTGCTGCTCGAGTGGGCCATCCCGCCGGCATCGCGGTCGAGCCGCGAACCGACCGGATCGTCGATGAGCGTCACGCCTCGTCCATCGCCTCGCCCGCGGTCGGAGCCGTCCTCGGCCGCCCAGGGCGCGTCATGCGGCGATAGCGCCGAGAGGGCACTGGCAGAAAGGCTCTTGGGGATTCCGGCATCCTCGCCGAGGCCGATACCGAGGTTGGTCGGCTGGCGGCGCTGCTCGGCAAATTGCACCATCGGCGGCCGGTGCAACTGCGCCTGCCGCTCGCTATCGGCGTCACGATGATTGCCAGCAACGTCACCAACGCCGACGCCAGCGGGCACGTCTTCTTCGTCGACGATATCGATAGCCGATCGACCTGGCTGAGTGGAGGCCGGACTGTCGATCCAGGGCAAAACGGTGAGTTCCGAATGGCCGACAGCATCGGGAGACCCAAGCCCTTCCGGCTGCCGCGTCTGCCATGCCGACAGCAGGCTCTCCGAGGTCTCGGCGGCAAGGCCGGGGCTGGCAAAGGCGAAGGGGTGTCGCAGCTGCGCAGCTCCTTCTCCCTCTCCTCCGCTTCCCGCGCCCACCTCGCCTCCGCTGCCACCGCCGTGGACCGGGTCGCTGACGGATCTCGACGAACCCGGCCTAGGAAGAAGCGAAGGGCTGCGCTGACTCCGCAGGGGGTTCTTGGGCGGCAAGCCAGGTCGCAAGTGATCCGCACTCGCCCCAGCGCCAACCGCCGACCCCCCAACGACGGGCGAAGAGACATGCCGTCCCGGCGACAGCGGGCTGGATCCAATCGAGGCGTGCCACTCCTTCCAGAGGCCCTGGACGTTTTCAAGGAGCGGCGTGCCGGGCTTGCTGCCTCCACGGCTGCCGTTGGCCGGACTGCCCGTCGGGGTCTCCTCGGCGATCGGAGAGCTTAAAAGCTGGTTCTCGTACGCACTGGAGATTGAGTTCGAGTGGGCGTGCTGCGACGACTCGGCGGTGCGCGGTCGCGACATCCGCATCTGCTGCCGCGCGAAGCCGCTCGGCGATCTCGGGGAGCCATGGCTCGATTCGGGGCGCCCGCTCGACGAAATGGCCGAGCTGCTCGTCGTCCGCGGCAGGATCTGCGGCGGCGCGGACGAGAGACCTCGGCTTGAGGCGCTAGCGCTGGACTGTAGCGGGCTCGCAAACGGGTGCGGGCCATGGATGGGCCCGTGGCTCGATCCGCGGTTAGCAGAGGGCCTCGCGACGTGCGACAGGGGACTGCCCTCGGCGCCATGGCCGTGGAGGCTGCTGGACCTCGGCATGTAAGCGGAACGTCCGGTGAGGTTGCCGGCGAAGCTGCTATCGTGGCTGCTGGCGTTGCTCGGCTGTCGGCTGAGCGTGCCATCCTGCGACTGCTCGCGCCGTCGGTGCGCCCGAGACAGGCTTCCGGCTGGACCAAGACCAGGGACTTCGTGCGTCGCGTTGTCGTCGGCGCGACCGTGCTGCACCTCCATGTTGGTGATCGCAGCGAGCGCCTCTCCGGTTTTGGTCCCAAGAGACCGTTTCGTCGGCGGCGGCGCGAAGGGCGCCGTAGGGGTGATTGACCGATCGTCTCCGTGGGAGTCCTGCAGGTCCAGAGCAGCCGTTCCAGACCCCCTTGCCGAGCCCGAAGGGGTCTGGGGCGAGGACGACGAGGCGTGCTGCTCCTCCGCAGCAGAGAGCAATGTCGCCGACGAGCTCTGGGCGTCTGCGTTGCGCTCTCCCTCGGGCGCGTCGATCGGCACCGGAGGTGGCGTCCGCGAGGGCGGTGGCAAGGGTGAGGCGGTGCGGAGCGCGGCAGATCTGCGGCGCTCGGACACGGCGAGGCTTTCACTCGCGTCCCTGACACGCCTGCTGCCTACAATCGCAGAATCCGGCGGGGCGCTCTCTTCGGCCGTGACGCTGCTCCCGGACGCTGCCTTGCGGTGGGCCGACGCCGCAGGCATGACGAGAAAGGAGTGGTCCGTCGGGAAGCTGGCGTTCGTCGAGGATTGAGAGCTGAGACTGTCTCCGTCGATGCTGCTTTGGACACTCGGCCGGCGAGCTTCGCGAAGACCTATCTCGTGCTGCAACGGAGCCGCGGCTGGTGCGAGCATCGGCGTCGGCCGAACGAAGCCGGGCTCGACGACTTCCGCCCGGGTGGTCGAGGAAGGGCCGAGATCGACTGTGCAGCGAGGTCAGGGTCGAGGATGCTCCGAGCACCGACATGTCAGCAACACTGGGGGAGGCCGCGTGCGATGATGCCCACCGCCGTCGTTCGAGACAAAGCTACGGGAACATGGAAGACTAACTCACAGTTGCTCGCAGTCGAAGCGTCGTTTGAAGTGGCTGCCAAGTCGCCATTCAGCGGCCGAGTGTAGGTCGCGCCTCTGCGTCCCACCGCCTGTCGGTATCCGCTGTCGCCGGTGTCGGACCGGGCGTGGCGGATGCTGCTGGCCATGGTCGACACCGATGGCGAGGGCGAGGGCGACCGAACCGACTTGCGCAGCGAGCTCGACGACACCTTCTGCCGCAACGGCGCCGCGGCGGCGCGCGGCCCCGCAAGCCTCGCCAGAGAGCTGCTGCTGCCGCCCATGGCCGATCCGTGCTCGACTGGCGTTCCGCCTCGGGTATGCGGCCTGCCGGCGACGCTGTTGACCGAGGCTGAGCGCCGCGGAGCGGCAGCCGCAGAAGCCGCATGCGACTCGCTGCGGACCGAGTGCGCGATGGAGGCGGTGTCGCTCCAGTCGGAAGAATGGAACTCGTGCGAGCTCGGCGTCGGACTGAGGAGGCCGCCGGGACGGGCGAAGGATGGGCCAGCGGCGGGCGCGCCAGTCCCAACAGCAAGCGAAGGGCCCGACGATGCCGGCGTCGCAGCATGACCGACGTCTGCTGAAGACCTGGAGGACGAGGACGACTTGAAGCCAAACAAACGAGCGCGCAGGCTCGGCTTCGGCTGGGCAGGGGCCGATTTGGCCGTCGCAGAGGCTGAAGATGGGCCAGAGCCGGCGATGGTCGGGCTAGGTGAGCCTGAAGCAGATGCGGCTCGAGGTCCCGGTGTGGACGACGACGGAGGTGCGGCGCGGGAGGAGCCCTTCTTGGCGCCACTGCTGGCCGAACGAGAACGCGGAAGGCCCGCAGACCCAGCGGACCCAAATTCCAGCGCCTGCTGCAACGCCGCATCGGGAGCGCCCTTTGACGAGCTGGAGGCGGCCTCGAAGCCGCCGACGAGCCTCTCGACCTTGGAGCGGCCGACGCTGGTCGGCCCGCTGACGCTGCGCGGCATGCCCTGGCCGCTTCCGGCATCGCGGCCCGCCAGCATGGCCGGCGGACCTAGCCTGGACTCGTCCCGCTGCTGGCGAACGTGGAGCCGCTCGTCTGTTGGTTGGAGTCCCCAATGCTCCTGGGATCGGGAGATGTCGTTGACCTCCTTCCGAGGTGATCCGCTCGGTCGTCGCGGGGCCTTGTCGTGGGGGCCGAGCGATCGGCTCGGGGAAGACGGACCGCCATCGGCGGCTGGAGCCGATCTGTGCGACCGCTGCGAGTATGCGCGAGCGCGATCCAGGCCGCCTTCCGACGCCAGCAGCTCCTCCTTGGGGCTGACGGAGCTGCCCTCGGTGGAGCGGGCGCTTTGGGAACGCGACTCTTCGTAGTGCACTCGCGTGCTGCGCGATGGCGAGGATGCCAGGGAGCTCGACATGCTGTAGTAGGCCGAGGCCGCCGACGCCCGCCTCTCCATCGGTATCGGCGGGGGCGCCATGTAGACGGGGGATCGCGAGCGGGCGATCAGGCCAGGCGCCGAGCGTGCATCATCTACGGAGGGCGAGATGGACGCCTCGGACGCGGCGGCGAGAATCGAGCTGCGGGAGCTGCGCCGCGCTCTCGGCTCGAGGCCGGCGACGAGAGAGGGCTCAAGCCCCTCGATGTCGCCGGCACCGGGCACGCCGAGCTGCGCACCAAACGAGCCCGTCCTCGTCTTGGATAGCGACCTGGGAGACGGCGATGGCTCAGGGCGGAGGTGGGCCGAGGGAGGAGAGGGCGTCTTGTGAGGTTGCGGCGACAGCTTCGGCGACGTCGAGGTCGGGTCGATGGGACCCCGAGCTGGTCTGCCAGGTCGGTGCTCAGTTGCGCTGTTGCAATGTGGGCCTTCTGGCTGCCACACTGGCTGTCTGTCAGGCACGCTTCAGTCCAGGTTGAAAAACTGCAGTGGCTGTGCCAGCCTTCTTCTGCGGCTGCAAGACTGTCGATGGTGGACGCTCCTTGTACGCGCCGGGAGCGGCTTTAGTGGGGAATCACCAATCGGTGGGTGAGTAGATCGGAAATCTCTGTTGGCAAGTGAAGGCGACACCAGAGACTGCTGCTCTGGAGAATGGCGGGAGCCGTCTGCCGTCTGGTTGGCGCGGCTGGTGGACGTTGTACGAAAGTCGCAGTCGGGAGCGACGCGGCAGGGCTCTCTCTACGAGCGGACGTCGCAGGGCGAGTGAGTGGGCGAGCGTGTGCCGTGGCAGCCGTGCCGGGCAGCGAGCGAGCCTGACCGCCAGGAGCTGCGATGGCGGGAGCTTGTGAGATGGCGGCAACCCGAGGCCAGCCTGGAGTGGTGCGGCGACCTCTGGACGACTGCGAGCGGGCCACGGTCGCTACGAAGCGATGTCGAGATCCAGGTGGGTCTGGCAAGGTGGTTGTTGCAGGCGCCTGATTGTGGCGGCCGTGCTAGACTGGAGCGCAGGATCTGCTAGCCGCAAGCCCGTTGGCGGGAGAACGGCGGGCTGATGGACGCGATGGTGGTGGTGGCGACAAGGGCACGGTGTATATGGCTGCGTGCGGGTCGTCAGGGGTCGGTCGGAATGCGGTCCTTCTCGACAAGCAAGCAGTGGTCGGTTTGGGACGAAACTCCGACCAGGCGGCGGGGTCGCTGGTCTTTGGCGGCGCAGGTTCGAGCTCAGCTCCGCGGTACCAGAAGCACGAGGAGTGTACGTCGAGTAGTCGGCACCGCCCGGAGCTTCGAGGTCGGGTGCGTGGCAGGCGAGCAGTCTAGGATGCTCCTGGAGCGCGGCTCTTCCGAAGCGGTCAGCGGTGAAAGAAGTCAGGCGTGCGATGAGCGGGCGAGGGCGAGGGCGAGGGCGAGGGCGAGGGATGGTCAGGGTGGTGAGGCAAGGCGGTCGTGGGGGTTGGTGGCACGCACCCGGCCAGACAGCCAGCTCGCCAGCCCGACAGCCCGTGGCATGTGCGAGCCCGCTCGCAAGCAAGGCCAGGCAGACCGGGTCGGGTGCCCGCCGAGCAAGCGCAGCGGCCAGGCAGGCCTAGCAAGCAAGCAGGCAAGCAGGCAAGCAAGCAAGGTTGAGCCCTGAGGCGGCCTGCTGCCGTGGCCCGCTCGACTCCTCGCGGCCTGACCCCACGCGCCAGGGCCCCCTAGCCTGGGATTTCGGGATTTTGTATTGCGGCGAGGGCCTAGCGTAAATGCCGCCCGGGAGAGGCAATACAAATTTTCGACTCTCATGCGGGCGAGCCCCACGCAGCACCCCTGCCTGCCTTTTCCCTCGCACCGTACCCCAACTCGCGCCCACCAGCAGGCTTGGCAGGCCGCCGGCCCGCAGCCGGGATGAGGCCGGCGTCCAGCGAGGCTGCTTGTGTAACTCTCTCCCAGGTCGCCTCACCGTCCATCGGCCGTCGCTGTCGCCGTCGCCATCGTCAACGCCCGCGACCCTGGCCTGCCATCCAAGTCCCCAAGCGGTCCCGCTGTCGCCTTCCGCACACATACACTGCGCCGTTGGGGCCGTCGCCAACGGAAGCGGTCTGACTGCGGCGTCCGTCTGCCGACCACCGTCGCAGCACCACCTGGTCGGACGATGAATCCGAGAGAATGTCGCGGGTGCTTGATTGACGGTCCAACCGAGAGACGGCCGTCTCCTCCGCTGCGCAGCGACAGCGAGTACCGCCAGACGTGCCCGGCACAGCGGCGGGTGATCCGGAGATGCCAACGTCGCGCCACGCACCTCGGCGACGGGCCGAAGCAGAACGCAGCTTAACGCAACGCGAGCCTCTGACAGGTGTCGGATCGCTACAACGAGTCTGCGAGGACCGCACCATGTGCAAGCGCCGAATGAAGCTGCCATACCCTCTTGCTGCGCGAGACATCGACACCTGGAAGAAGGAAGCCAGCCTGCGATCGACGAGAGGGTACCGGGCAGAACTCGCCGGCGGTGTCCGGCACCGCGACGAGTCAGGTCCACGGCTAGGCTTTCCGTACCGCATCGATATCGCTGCGTACGGACGGTGCCGACGGTGGTGTATCGACCCCGGACTCTCTGCTGGCATCGAGCGGGACTGTTCCGCACCCACTTGGCCAGGCCGCTTCTCTGGCCGACATCGGCCCGCTCCCGCTCGCCGAGTGGATCGATCCCGTCTCGGGACCACCAGGCTAGGCCGCTCGCACCGGGACCAGACGCAGGCGCAGGGCGAGGCGGAAGGTGGTGCGAACTGTGCCGAGTCTGTATCTGGGATGGGGCTGCGCGTGGCCCGTCTTTCGCAGGTGGTGGTCGCGGTGGCCGGCGACGATGTCGGTGCCCGTCGCTAGGCGTCTCTGTCACGCTGGATAGGCTCGGTTCGGGCTGTCGACTGCCTGCCTCTTGGCCAGAGAGAGGGGCTGAACAGCGTAGGTGCGAGGGAGAGGGTGAAGAGCAGAGACGAGCGTAGCTGCCCGTCGCCTCGAGCCTCGTAGCAGCTCGACGTTGGCGGGGCCAGGCTGCGGCCACCAGCATTCAGCCCAGCCTCGCTGCCAGCGCCCGCGCCTGCGCCTGCGCCAGTGACTGCCCACCCGCCAAGGGAGGACAGGGCAGGTACCGTCCTTCTTTCTTGGCCTCCGTCCCGCGGCCGTCGTTGCTGGTCAGAGGCTTGCCGCCACAGCTCGTTCGCCCGCCCCGGCCAGCAGGCTACGGTCGTCGGATGGACGCACCAGGCCGGGCAGCAAATGAAGCGGACGGCGGATTGCGTCCGATGCCAGGCGGTCAGCCCCGAGCCAGGCCGCCGGCTACAGACGGCAAGCAGGCAGGCGTGCGTCCCGACAGCTCCCTGTGGGGCCAGCCGCCCAGGCCAGGCCAGGCGTGGCCGAGTGGAGAGGAAAGGTCTGGCCAGGCCAGGCCAAGCAAGCAGGCAAGCAGGCAGGCACGCAAGCAGGGACGGCTCTGCGCTCGGCCCTCTTCCTCCGCCTGCATTCTTCCTAGCCCTGGCTGGCTTGGCCCCGAAATTCCTTCTTCGCCCTCTTGCAACTCCCCACCACCTCCCGTCCGCGGCCCATCCCAGCCTCGGCCTCAAGCAGGGCACCGTCAAAGCGATCCGATCCTCCGCCACTCGAGCTACAGTAGTATCGGTCCATCACGCGCCGGCTCGGACCGCCCTCGTCGAGTAGGCGACGCTCCAGCCGCATCGCCAAGCGAGGACAGGTCACCGGCTGCCATCGAGGCGGCCACGGCCGGACTGCCAACACAGCTACGTACGCAGCATCGGCTGGCATCGTGCCCACCCATTGTCAGCTGCAGCCGTCCTCAGGACCCTGTCCATCTTCCACCTTCCGCTCTCGTCACCGCGCGTGCCGGGCTGCCCTTGGCAAGATGCCGGGATCGGGCATACATGCGGACCCGGCGGGTAGGCCCAACAGCGCCGATGACAATCATCACGCCATGGCGACGCGCTCGCCTGCCACGACACCCGGCCCGGGCTTCCGCATGCTGCCGTCGCGCGGCAAGGCGAGGGCGGTGACGCCGCCGGAGCAGCTGTCCGCCGTCCTGCCTTCGAACCTGGTCTCGAGGATCTTCGACGAGCTCTTCCGCGACACCGTCTGCGGATGCAACGCCCCGGCCGCCTTCTCCCTGGTCCCTGACAGCCTCATGGACGGACCCTATCTCACCGAGGGAGCCTGGGTCTGGCTCGCGATCCACTGGCGAAACGAGTTTGTGCCGCTCAGGCGCCTCTGCTCCCAGTGGAAGTCGATCCGTGAGTAACCTCCGTTCCGCTGCGCCAAGCCGGGCTCTGGCCTCGACCCTGCAGAGCCGACGCGGATCTCCCTGGGTTGGTGAACCTCTTGCACTCTTGAGCCGATATCGACGTCGCCTCACGTGGCATGATTCCAGCTGACTCGTTTCGCAACCCCCTGCCATCCTGCCTCGACAGTCGAGCATCGGACCGAGTGGTTCTACATCGTCCAGCTGTACACCGGGATCGAAGTCGTGCCGGCGCAGGTCGGCATCTCGCCCTTCGAATTTGCCCAGGACGTCCTCCAGCGCGGATGCAGCCTGTGTCAGATCACGGATGCGTCCAGAAGCCTGGCCCGCGAGGAGCTCATGCGCTGGTACTTTACGGGTCTCGGTTCCGTGCTGGTGAGTGGCACGGGCGCGCGCTGAGATGTGGCGATTCCGCGTCGTATGCGTCCCTGGCCGTCGACGCAAGCATGCCCCGGAGCAAATCGTCGCCCCTGGCGTCGAGGCCATGGCGGATGTTGACCTGGGCTCTCTCCGTCCGGCTGGCTCGCTCCACCGCAGGTCTGCGAGCAACACTTCTACGTGCTGCACAAGCAGTCCTGGCAGCAAGCCACGGGCGAGGCTGCAGACGAGGAGTCGAGCGACGAGACGGAGGGTACCGCCCAGGCGGCCGAGGACGAGGGCGAGGACGACGAGGTCGAGGTCGAGGTCGAGGTCGAGGTCGAGGAGGACGATGAAGACCACGAGGAGGAGGAGGAAGAGGAAGAAGACGAAGGAGAGCAGGAGGAGGGGGAGGTAGAAGAGGGAGAAGAGGCGCAGATCGAAGCCGAAGGGGACCATTGCGGCTCCGACAGCGTCGACAGCGGCGCTGGGGGCAAAAGCGCATCGCTGTCGGGAAGCAACGAGGCGGCGACCGAGGCAAGCGACCCAGCCGAAGAGGAGTGCACCTGCAGCATCTGCGTGCGCGGCAAGCGAAAGCGCGACGACAGCGACGAGGAGCACCGATCGCCACGGGCAGGAGCCGAGGCGGACGACGCGTCGGTCAACCAAGCCGCCAGGGCGGCCTACGTCCAGGCCCAGCTGCGCAAGCAGAGCTTCCTGCTCCGAAAGATCCGATCCCAAAAGCAGGGTGACGATTCCGAGCAGACCTCGGAGCGCCTGACCAGGCTCGAGGAGCAGACTGAGCGAGGCTCACTATTCAGCCCCAAGTTGATGGGATGGCTCGAGGAGCTGGCCATCGGCGAGCTGAAGAGGAGGAGGAAGTGATGGCCGGCCGCTCACATCGCTGTCGGCCGCACAGCAACAGCGGGAAAGGATCGCCGCTGGAGCGGGGACGAGTATTGACGAGCAAGGACCGGGATCACGGCGACCTCCGACGCCTGGGGACGCGGCACCAAACGGAAGACGGCGCGACGGGATCGCAAGCACATGAGAGAAGGCCAGCGGCAACGACGACAGAGGACGAGCTGTCAAGAGTCTCCGCCAATATCAAACAGGTCAACGACATATGAAAGGCCGCTTGAGAGCACCAGCAACATCACCGGCATCAGCTCCGTCACAGGCCGCACGCCAGCACGAGCGAGCATCGCATCAGAACGCCATCGAGGCACAAAGGGCCGTACACATCAGCGTCCCAGCAGGCAGTGGCATCGCAGTCAGGTTGGGCATGCGTCGCAGAATACGAAACCTTGCAGCGGCGCAAGAAGGACTGAGCAGGCGAGACGACGTCTCCGCCCGCCATGGTTCGGCGCCGCCTCCGGTCCGATTGTAGGCCCGCCGATCACTGAGCAATCAGAGTCGTTGAACCGTCAGATGGTGATGCCGGACAGAACCGGCAGCTCGTGCGCTGGAAGCACGCCTCCACCTCTGTCGATGCTGCTGTTCCTGTCCGTTTGCCAGACGTTGAAGAGCGGAGAGGGTTGAAGGTGAGGGTGGTCGGGATGATGGAGTCAGTCTGCCAGGCGAGAGCGGGAAGGCGGAGCGAGGCTGTCTGCCTGCACCCTGGCGCACGGACGCAACCGCATTTGGTGCTGGGCCCATGTCGCCGCACTGCAGGCTGGCCTGGAGGGCCGGCGTGGGCTCGTGCCTGCTTGCTTCTTCCTCCTCCGCCTCGGCGACGACCGCCGCCACCGCCACCGCCATCATCGCCGCCATCCTCACGACTTCCCGCTCATCTGAGCAGCCTTCATCCGTGAGAGAGGCACCACATACGCCTCGGATGCTTAGCGGTTGGCCATCGCCGACATGATCCGCCACCCTCATCGCCCTCGTCGACAATGACCTCCACACCGTCTCAGCTCGTCGAGTGCCCGAATTGCCAGCGCACCCTGCCGTATACCCACCTCAACCCGCACCTCGATCGCTGCCTCGTTTCCGAGCCGGCAGCCCACGACGGCGCGGATAGAAATGGCAGCAGTGGTACCGGCAAGGCCGAGGACGACTCGCATCCTCCAACTCAGACCGCCACTCTGAGCCGCTCCTTCTTCTCACCCGCTTCGGCCTCGGCGAGCACCCCTCTCAGGGCAAAGTCCAACGGTGCTGGAGCCAGACCGTCCCCCCAGGCAGAGCCTTTCCATGCACAGCTCCATGCTCATCCGACGAAGCGCCAGAGGCTCGAGAGCGACGCCGGCTCCCCTCGGCCCGCCAGTCGCAGCACCCCTGCCAATGGCGCCGACCTCAGCAGCGGCGCGGCTCAGCGCACCTTCACGAGCCCTGCGCCCCAGGCTCTGCCTCATCCCCAACATCCGCAGTCGAGCGCGCGTAGCCGCATTGACGCCGCCAAGCCCTTTGCCGAACGCATGCGGCCCCAGAGCCTCGACGACTACGTCGGGCAGGACCAGGTCATCAACGGACCCCTCAAGATGCTGCTACGCCAGGGCCGCATCCCCTCGATGATCCTCTGGGGCCCTCCCGGCACGGGCAAGACGACGCTCGCCCGCCTGCTGGCCAAGTCGACCCACTCGACCTCGGACAGCACCGGCCCCTCGAGGAACTCGGCCGCCGCGCACCGCCCGCCGCCCCACCGCTTCGTCGAGATCTCGGCGACCACGGCGGGCACCGCGGATGTCAAAAAGATCATGGACGAGGCGCTCAATCGCCTCCAGCTCACCGGTCAGCCGACGCTCCTCTTTATCGACGAGATCCAGCGCTTCAGCCGCGCCCAGCAGGACGTCTTCCTGCCATCGGTCGAAAAGGGGCAGATTGTCCTGGTCGCCGCCACGACCGAGAACCCTTCGTTTCGGCTGCAGGGCGCGCTGCTGTCGCGGATGCGCGTCTTTGTCCTGACCAAGCTCAGCGTCGACGAATGCTGCACCGTGCTGAACAAGGCCATCGAGCGGGTGAGGCAGGAGCGGCGGATGGACCACCTAGGCGAAGAGGCCGGCGGCGACGATGCTGCCGACCCGCTGGCGCACATTGACGCAGATCTCGTACGCTGGATCGCCAACGTGGCCGACGGCGACGCCCGGACGGCGCTCGGAGCGCTCGAGCTCGCCTTTTCGACGACGGACCCAGGGCTCTCGTCTGCCGACAACGTCGACCGGCTCAAAAAGGCCCTGTCGCGGACCGCGCTCCAGTACGACCGGACGGGCGACGGCCACTACGACACGATCAGCGCGCTGCACAAGTCGATCCGCGGCTCGGACGCCAATGCCGCCCTCTACTGGCTGGCGCGCATGGTGTGCTCGGGCGACGACCCGCTCTTTATCGCGCGGCGCCTCATCGTGGCGGCCTCGGAGGACATCGACTCGCTCGAGGCGCTGCAGATGGCCACGGCCACGTACCAGGCGTGCCAGGTCGTGGGCCTGCCAGAGTGCGGCGAGAACCTGGCGCAGTGCGTCGTCTTTCTCGCCGAGCGGCCCAAGAGCACGCGCAGCTACCGCGCCTGGAAGAAGGTCAAGGCGTGCGTCGAGGGCGACTACAACCACCCCGTCCCGCTCCACATCCGCAACGCGCCCACCAAGCTCATGAAGGACATCGGGTATGGCCGTGAATACCGGTACGAGCCGCGCTTCGCGCACCCCGTGTATCAGGAGTTTCTGCCGGACGAGATCAAGACGAGGCGCTTCCTCTCGCCCCCTCCCCGATCGGAGGAAGACGTGGGCGAGGCAGACGAGGCGTCAGGCGATGCGGATGCGCCGTCGTCGTCCGAGGAGGCGCGCAGATCCGCCTCTGAGCCCGCCTCTGCCGATGGCCCTGTCGCAGCGCCGACGAAGTTCAGCTCGACGATGCCCAAGGCGGCGGGCATCGGTCCGGGGTCTTGCCAGCGGCAGTTTGAGATCGGCGCGCGCGCCGTCGACCTGGACCTGCTCGACGAGTGGGAGCGGGAACGCAATGGCGGCAAGCCCTGGAGCGGACGCCGGGAGCTCGAGAGGATGCTGGCCCGGTTGCAGAACGACGTCGACGCCGCTGCAGTGGTCAAGAAGGACGAGGCGGGTGGCGCATAGGTCGACGGGGGCTGTGGTCGCTGCAACTCGGCGCCCCGGCGGTGCCGTGGCTGAGCAAGCGGGGTGCGCTCGCAGCTCACATCGACCCGTGGGGTCACAAGGACTCGCTTGCTTGAGCAATCAGCATCTCATCGTTCATCGGTAGTCGTCCGTATATCGAGGCCGGTCTTCGGGCGGCGCTGGCGACCAACAAGGAAGGAGCTGGGGTCGAGCTTGACGGATTGGTGTCTTGGAACTTGGCACTCCATGGGCAGCGACGAGGACGACAAGTCGTCGCACCCCAGAGAAGTCGCAATGGGGTAAGAGATGCGAGGCGGGATCTCGTTTGGACCAGGCAGGCCGAGTCGGGAAGATGCGCAGTGCGTTGCCGGGCCACAGGTCAGCCCCATCGTCTCGCCGACGACGCAACGCGAGCACGTTCCCGACGAGTGGACGTGGCTGCGTGCGTGTCTAGGATACGCTGCTGCCGTTGCGCTCTCGACGAGCTACTGTACAGTAGACCAAGCGGGTGGGTGGCGGTACATGACACATGACATTGAAGACAGGTGGTACGTCGAAGCCCGACACCTGGTTGCTACGTTGCGTCGCGACGACGAGAGAGGGAGACGTCCAGCTCAACTCAGCTTGCTGGCTTGGCCCTGCCCTGCCTGCCTTGCATGGGTCGACGCCGACTCCGACGCCAGCGCCGGTGCATAGAAAACGACCCGCCACGTACGGCTTCCCCGCGGCTTCGTTGCCGGGAGTCTGTTGATCCCCGTCCGTTGTCCTCTCTCTGAAAGTCGAAGAGACCCTCCCTGCATCCTCACTGTTTGCATGGTCTCCTGACAACCGTCAAAGATTCTCGTTGCTATACATCCCCTTGCCTGTCTATCCGGACAACCGTCATGGATCAAGCAGGCCAGGGGGTCGTAGAGAAGCAGGCCGGGACCCTTGCTTGGTTGTTCTGCTTTGCTTTGCGATGTGCGACGCTGCGTTGCGTTGCCCCGAGCCCGTTCTCCGTCTGCCTCTGGACCGGTTGGCCCCTGCCTGGCACCGTCAAGCGAGGAGGGCGGGGTAAGGCCCAACTAGCCTGACCGCGGAGCGACCTGTCCGCACAGCACAACTATCTGGTATGTGCTCGGTCGAAGCAGTGGCCCGCTCCGCATCTCCATCCTGAGTGGCTACCGTACGAGGTGACGAGGGGATAGCCCCAACACGCAGACCGCCTTCGCATCCGCGGCTTTCGCTCCGCCACGCCACCTCGCCACTTCCTGTCAGGCCAGGCTGGTCGACTTGCGGATCCGTTCCGTACGTGATCGTTCGTCTACGTGCCTCATTTTGGTCTATCCCCTCTTCCCTGCCCTGCCCTCCCTACCCTGCCCGCGTCATCCTGCTCAACCTCGCTTAGTCGCTGTGCCCAGAGCAGCGCCACGGGACACAGCGCGAGCTGGCCTAGGCTGGGTGGCGAACAAGCCAGAGCGCAATTTAGCTTGGCGCTAGCGTGGGATCCGCCCAGCTCCGCTCCGCCTCGTATGTCCCACCCGCCATCCCCGCCATCGACGGACGGTAGGTACAGTGGCTGTGCCGTCGCCGTGGCTGAGCATCACCGCGCCGAAAAACTCTCAATCGATGGGATGCGACTTGCCTGGCGGCGCAGAGCCCCGTCTCGCCGCGCGGCCCTGCTCCACGGAGACGAGATTAATACATAGTCAATCAGCCGCCGTCCCGTCCCGTCCACGACCGTGGCTGCCTGCACGAGCTTCCACCCATGTCAGTCCTAGGTACTGTACCGGTGTCCTCTCTGAACTTGACCGAGGTGGCGATGGAAAGGACGTGCAACCAAGCTGACGGAAGCTGGCGTTGTGCACAGCAGGTAGTTAGTGGACGTCTGGTGCTGCCCAGCGCGAAATGGAAGCCACCAACCAAGTTGAACAGATCCAGAAGCCGTACGCATCAAAGGGGGGCAAGCAAGCCTGACAACCGAACGAGCACCGCCTGCGTTGTTGCAACGCTGAGCGTAGTCCCGCATCGAAGCGCCACCTCGGCCCGACTGCTTCCCATCGCCCCGCCGGCAGCACGTCCACATCGTTCAGCATCTAACTATGCGATCTTCCTCCTGGCCGGTTGATGTCGAATGCAGCAGAAGTCGGGGCTTCGTGATCAGTTTCTACAGGAAGACGATGGCTGCTGTGAGTCTGTGCATCCCTGCTCTACCTGCCTGGCCAGCCGGTCCATAGCGGCAGGTCCTCCGGCGAGCGAGACATGGGGCCCGGCGCCGATGCATGTATCGCGAATGGCCGTGGGCGTTTGATTGCAGCGAGTAGTGACTCAGGAGGGAAGGCCGCCCGCCCGTCCGCCCGTCAGCCTTTTCGCCCCCGCTCAGTCCTCACCTGTCTACCGGTACTTACCTACTGTATGTAGCCTGCCTTGGCCAAACGCGCCATCCTCCCACCGAACGACCGATGGGTTCGACCAGACCTCGGCAAGCGGCACGACGACGGACGGAAAGCACGGCGGCGTAGCGCGGGCAAGGCCAGGCCGTCGCCGCGGTCGTCATTGACCCATCCATCATCGGAGCATGGCTCGCCGAGACCTACCGTAAGTGTAAGGCGTGTCCTGGCCGAGCAAAAGACGCAGAGTAGGTACAGGAACAGTCCAGCCCCGGTGTCAGCCGCCGCCGCTCCCGGCTCGACGACGACGACGACGACGCTCTTTCATGCTCCACCCCTCTGTTGCAGCTTCAGATCGAATCGGCCTGGCCTTAGCTTGAACGGGGTGCACGGCGCTGATCCCGCAGATCGACGGCGTTTACCGGCAGCCCCGACTGCGCGCCACCCCGAGCAAAGACAAGAAAGCAGGCGAGCGAGCAGGCAGCTGGGCGCACAGTTTCCACACTCGCACGCTCCTGCCTCGCCCGGCCCCCCCGATGCGCCACACGGACATACCTCGGCGCCCCGATAGGCTGATACGACGACACGACGGAGCCTCGACCGCTTGGCTCGGGGCAGCGTGGACGGGAATGAAGGTACAGTATGTATACAGTAGCACGCTCGATGGACTGGCTACAGAGAGTGGACTCTTGCGCCCTGGACCAGCGTTGACTTGGGGAAATCAACGACGGACGACCACAGTGACTTGCGACCGCGGAGAGGCGGGCATGATTTGACCGGTCAGCCGGTCGACGCGGCGGGCACGTTTGCTGAGCATATGGCCTCTCGCCACGCTCCGCCCGCCCGTGAGCCTTTTTCCTGCCTGATGCTCAGCAGCGGTGTGGCAGCTGCGACATCAAATACCCGATGCACGCTAGACGATGGAGCCGCCTCGGCCTGCATGCTCGTGCATGCATGCTTTGCCCAGCTTGGCTTCCATTTCGCTTGGCTTTGCATCCAAGACCTCTCCGCCGTCTCCCGCCGCCGTGCTCCGCCCCCCCACCCCGGTCTCGACTCGACTCGATCCGCCGTCCCGGGTCGATCTCACTGTACAGGCCATCGTGCCGGCGACACCGTCGTTTGGCCAGTCGTGACACCTCCCTCTGCTTCCGCTCCGCGACATCTCAAACGCCAGGCGAGCCAGACTGAAACTCCGTAAAGTGCTGCTTCCCCTTCCCCTCGTTACGCGCGGTCAGCTCCACGGCCCGCCATGGCCTGGCTCTGCCTGGTCAGATCCGCACCTCTCGTTTTGCCGCCGCTCCCAAACGGCAGGCGAGCTTAGACGAGAGACGCAGCTCCGTCTTCCGATGCAGTCGACACGCTACCGTACTGTGACCTCGGCCGTCCACCTTCAAAACAGAGTAACTCTCCGCGATAACCTTGCGAGGTCTGTGTACTGTACGCAAACCGCCGTGGGGCCAAACATGGCAGATGCAATACCGTACAGTACCGGCTCCATCTTGGTTCCCCTGCCGCTGATCATGCGCTGTCCTGGACGCCAAGTCGCTGGCCGCTGCCGTGCTTGCCGCGTCCCCGGCCTCGCCTGCGACTCAAATCGAAGCCAAGCCAGAGTCTTCCTGGTGTTTCTGTTCCCTCGCCAAGCTCGGCCCTGCAGGCCAGCCAGCCGGTCGTTGCCACCCACCATTCGTTCCCTGGCTGGTGGTGGCGGGGTCCTGAGCGCGGTAGGCCACGGCCTGGCCTGCCATTCCCAGCGCGACACTCGCCACCGCGCCCGCCTGTGCCGCCGCCTTCCTCGCCGGCTCTCGTCTCGCTCGCCTGTTCCTAGCGCTGTCTGCGGCGCCTTGCTGGTCTGCGGTTATGTCCGCCTACAGTAGCCAGACATCCAAGCATCAGCGCATCGGCGCCCGACATCGTGCAGCAGTACCGTACCTCTTGACTCAGAACAGCAGAGCGACTACACCGCCCTTGCCGCGAGCATATAAGAACCTTCGACTGGCCGTCGTCTAGCAGTGGCCCCCTTCATCCTCCTCACCCCATCACACCCATCCCTCTCTTCCTCCCACCTTGCTGGCAAGACCTAAAGCCCATCCTCCCGTCGATTTCACCCCCTCTCTACCCGTCTCCGACGCTCCCCTCTCAAACAACTCTCTCTCACGATGCAGTTCAACGCCCTCTTCCTCATCGCGCTGGCCAGCTTCGCCACCGCGCTCCCCGAGCCCATCGCCGTCGACGGTAACACCGCCGACGCCGTCGCGCCCAGGTGGGGCAGCTACCCCTCGTGGGGCGGCAGCAGCGGCGGCAGCACCGGTGGCAGCTGGTGGGGCGGCTCGACTGGCGGCTCGACTGGCGGCTCCTCTGACGCCAGCAGTGGATCCTCGAGCGGCGGCTCGTCGTCGGCCGCTGCGTGCAACAGCTACAGTGAGTTGCCCTGCTTTCCCCCTCGTCTCCCGATCCCAACCCCATACCTCATCCTCGCTGACCGTCCTTCCCTCCACATCTACTCCCTCTCTTGTCGCAGCTGTCATCACCACCCGCGGCACAGGCGAGGCCCAGGGCCCGTCGGCCGGTTTCCGCACCATGAACTCGCAGCTCACCTCGTCGACCTCCGGCGGCAAGCTGTACAACACCGTCTACCCCGCCGGCTTCAGCCAGAACTCGGCCCAGGGCACCCAGGACATCGTCAACAAGGTCACCACCACCCTGCGCTCCAACCCCAACGAGTGCTTCATCCTCCAGGGCTACTCGCAGGGAGGCGCCGCCACCACAAACGCCCTCCCCAAGCTCACCGGATCGGCCTTCGACGCCGTCAAGGGCGTTTTCATCATCGGTAACCCCCTCCACAAGCGTGGCCTTGATTGCAACGTCGACTCCAACGGCGGCACCACGACTAAGAACGTCCAGGGCATCTCTGCCGGCCTCGGCAGCGGAATCCCGCAGAACTGGGTCTCGAAGACGATGGACGTTTGCGCTTTCGTGAGTCGTCCCTGGATCGCCATGTTCACCGCCCTCCATTGCACACCGGGAGGCTGGACATGCATTGGCTTCGATGGCGGTTCAACGAGGTACAAGGAGCTGAGGTACTGACACCATCGCCACCGTGTATCGACCTCGACGCGCTCTTCTTTTTCCCCGCCTCCCTGCTGCTGCCGTGACAGGGCGACGGCGTTTGCGACACCACGAACGGTCGCGGCATCAACGGCCCCCACCTCTCCTACGGCAGCGACAGGAACGTTCAGCAGATGGGCCTCACCTTCATGAAGAAGCAGCTTGGCCGCTAAAGCCTCGAAGGCGCAACGGGCATCGAGGAGCAGGTTCGGGTCCCGTGCTTGTGCTCATGTCGAGCATCGTCGGACCGCCTGTTCCACCCTTTCCCACTGTCCCGCACCTTCCTTTCCGCTCGTCCAGCATCACTACTACTATACACCCAATCTTCTACTTTCTACTCTCTCTCTCTCTCTTCATTATTGATACCGCGCCTCGTATCCGAGCGCCGCACGGCCGCTGTCTAGCCTAGAGGATCTCCCCCCCTGGCTCCTCGCGGACGTTTTCTTCCTCCCCCCTTTGCTTCTCTCCGCTAAGGTCGTCTCGAAATCAAACTACTGCCTGGTCGTTATCGCTCTTTCCCTTCTGTCCACCCATGTGCCTGTGACTTGATGCTCGCTTTCTCGTGGCTCACTTGGCTAAATGACGCCCGGCGCGATGTCGGCTCTCAGTTCCTGGACGTTTGGACGTCGCCCGTCCTAGGTCGAGGAGGATGCAGTCGAGTTGGCCATCGTGTTGGACTGGACCCGACGAGGTGGCCACCAGAACCGCGCCCCTCGCTGCGCCGGCCATCCGTCCCTGTCCGACACGTTCCTCGGCCTTGCCCGTCCGTCCGTGGCTCCATCAGGCCATCCGTGCATTGAGGTCCGGTCTGGTTCCGCGATACCACTGTACTAGCTCTCGCTTTCGGTCAACGGGCCATCGCTAGCCCCGATGCGGATCGCATGGCCACGTATGTACGCATGGTCCCGACCCCTTCCCACCACCCCCCTTGCTCGCAGGCAGAGCCACCTACTCGTCGAGTCGTCATCCGATGGACTCAACCGTCCGTCCTAGTCCATCTGTCTGTGTTTCAACAAGCAATGATATATGCCCGCCCGGGGACCCATACTGCGCGCTAAACCGAGCTAGACTGAGCCCCGTGGCCGTTAGCCACCTCCCCTTCCCCCTTTAAGCCCCCTGCTGCGCCCCGCCGTGACCGGCGCAGCCCGGCCCGGTGCGGCGTGACAACCATGCGAACACTACTGAAGCTCTGACTCGCCCGCCATCTTGACGGCGCGCAAGGTGTGCCGGCCTGTGCTTCGTGAACGATGACGGCGGCCAACGTCAGCCAGCTGAGCTAGGGATGATGCACCTCGCCTCAGCTCAACGGCTCGTCCATCGAGCAACCGGAAGCCATCCCGCCCTCGCCCGCCGAGCCCGTTCGGAAGGTGCCCGAATCGCCAGGCGGGCTTTCCAATTGAATTCATTCAGGATTCTTGGTGCCCCCAGGATTTTTGGTTGGCGCCTCGCCGCCAAGGGCTTGTCATGCCTGCCGCTCCGCCCCCTCCGCATGTCCGCCGGCAGCGGAACGGTCGTTGGGTGTTGCAGCGGCGCGCGCGTTGTACGTGTCAACGGCGCTATGTATGTACATACGCCCTCGCTACGCCACACGCGGCTGGGCGCAGTCATGGATGGACATGGACAGATCGCGCGTGATCATCGACTGACACTCGCCCGTGTCACCGTCGCCCAACTACCCGGCCGCGCCTGGCACCTCTGATCCCAACCCTCCGCCCTGCGCTCCATGCCCACCCGTTCCGAGGGTCGTGGGCCGGTCCTCCTCGCCCCTCTTTCCTCTCTCTCGCGCTCGGCCCCACCGCGCGGCGCCTGGGACTAAGAGCCACTTCGACCGACTCTGCTCAGCCTGACCGAATCGATGGCCTGGCCCTGTGTCACGACCTCCAGTGCAAATTGACACGGCGTTGCCATCGCTGCGCGTCCCCGTCTGCGCCCGACATCGAGGCTAGTAAGTCGGGGGCGAATATCAGGACAGCCTCAGCCTGCCATCATCCTTGCGCCGTCTCCCCATCCTCCCATCAGCTAATCAGCCCTCCGTCCCCTCCCCCTGCCCCTTCAGACGCCCTCTCTCCCAATCGTTCTTCATCCTCTTGCTGGCAAGACCTCGAACGCGCGTTTAACCCCTCGCCCTTCACTCCCCTCCTTCACTCCCCTCCTTCATCCCCTGTTCGATTTCTCTTCCTACCTCTTCGCGTCTGCGACCACCACCAAGTACTCTTTCCAGCTTCGTCTCGCCTCCTCGATCGACGCCCTTGCGATGCAGGTCGCCGTCCTTTTTGCCATCGCCCTGGCCGGCCTGGCCAGCGCGCACCCCAACCCCAAAGCCCTCATGATGGGCGGCGGGATGCCCAAGATGCCCGGTATGGGCGGAGGCTTGATGGGCGGCGGCATGCCCAAGATGCCCGGTATGGGCGGAGGCATGATGGGCGGCGGGATGCCCAGCTTCGGCGGTCTCGGCGGCGGCGGAGGCGGTATGCCCGGCCTCGGCGGCCTCGGAGGCGGCGGTGGCGGTATGCCCAGCTTTGGTGGCCTCGGCGGCGGCGGCGGCGGCGGCATGCCCGGCCTCGGTGGTCTCGGAGGCGGTGGCGGCGGTATGCCCAGCTTTGGTGGCCTGGGCGGCGGCGGTGGCGGCGGCATGCCCAGCTTCGGTGGTCTCGGAGGCGGTTCCAGCGG